TAATATTGATTCTCTTGTACTATAACATCCAAGCTTAAAATTCAATGCAATAGTATAGAAATGTTTTTTGTTTCCACCTCATATATAGAAGTTATTATAATATAAACTGAATTATTTTTTTCTCTTGTTGTGAATAGATATAATTTTCATAATGTCACTATAGATTGATGAGGAAAAGTAATAAAATTAGTAGTTGGATTCACATTTTTATGTTTTCCTAAATTTTGGGTGGAGATTTAATTCTTGATATTGGTAAATATATTAAGGAAGCTTATGATACAATCCAAAAAAGAAAATAAAAAACAGAGAACTAACTTATCGATAAATTTTAAGTTTGGGTTTTGGAGGAGAAAATGCTGAATTTGATTATAAAATTTATTATTAAATGATTATAAATTTTGAAAGTTATAACGATATTAAAAATAAGTATTTATTTTAAAAAAGTTATTTAAAAAAAATAACAATCTCAATTTTTTTAAGCAATTAAACGTTTGATTAGAAATTGAATTTAGCTAACTATATCTTAAGGTTAGACATTGAGAATTTATGAACATGCTTCCACAATAACTGTGGCTTACATTTTTTTTAAATTCATATATTCTGTACACATACCTTTGATCCAATGCCAACAATCTCTTAATTATGGTTTAGAATGTTCAAAGATATCTTTAGGTGTTAATTTAATAACTAAATCTTAGACACATCCAATAAATTTATCTTGTTTAATGCATTTTGATTATAATCTATGTACTTCTTGAATAACATTTTCAGTTTTCAACATATCAGCTAATTCTTCAAAGATTCTTTTCCAACAATTCTAATCATCATATTTAGATCTAGTTCTTTTTCTACCATAATCTTAAGTTTAATCTTATTCATAGGTAATATCTAATAATGTTGAGTGAATAGACTTATTTCTGAGTTATTTTTATTATTATAAGTTATCAATGGTTGCCTCTAATTCTTATATTTTATAGATGAGTAAATCTCTTTATTAAGTAAGTTCTTCAATAATTTGCATCATATTTTATTTAGTTTTGCTTAATTCATCTTAAAGAATGTTGATTTGTTATCTTAATTATTCTGCATCATCTTCTTACGATTCAGTTAATTATAAGACATCTGAAGATGAAGATAAATACTTTCTATCATCTTCGTTATTTTTTTGAATTATTTTCAAATTATCTTTGTAACATTAAAGTTTCCTCTAGATTAATTAATAGTCTTATGAATCTTCTTCTTATGTATTGAGAGTACAAACAGATGGAACAAGTTATGTAGGATGTTGATAATGTTATTATTGTTGTTATTTATACATTAAATGAAATTTAATTATGTTGAACACTTGTAAAATAATATATATATATATATTTGTATTAATATTATAAATGTTCAATCTGCATTATAATCGTCTAATTTCTTAAGCAATTGCTATTCGTATCCAGCACTATAATATTGAATGATTTCTGGTGGATAATAGGAATTGATTTCGTCGATATATTGTCTTAATTTGGATCCAGGATTAGCTTTGATTTCTTGAATCTTTTTGAGTCCTTCAGATAATACAAATTATCTATAGATAATAAAAGAAGGATATACTTTTTAGCAGCATTATCATTAGGTAGAGTCTTTTGGAATTGATGTAAAACATATTACAGAATATCAGGAGGAGCTTCTGAGATTAATGGTTCAAGAGCAGGTAAGTAAGTGCACATTTATAAAATAGATTTTAATGCTTAACTTGATTTCTTTTTAAGATCTTCACTAGATTCAGGGAACTTATAAACCTTAAAATAAATAAATAAAATATAATACAGCTAGTAAATGTGATGGAACATCAGCTTCAGCCATTGCTCTAGAATGATCAGCAGAATGTCCTCCTATCATACCTAAAGACCAAGCAGATGCACTCTTTACAGATTAATCAGGTTCCTTTATTAAAGCATCTTTTAATGGTGCTATCCCTTTTGCTGCTATTATTCCCATTGCTAATGCTTCATCAAATGCACCAATAAATCCTAATGTCATTATACCTGGTAAACGAGCATCTCCTTTTGCTTCATTAATATAATCAACTATTGACACTACAGCTCCTGCACTACATATCATTTTAGCTAAATCTTATGATTATCTTGCTATTTCTCTTATACATGTAGCTGCTGCCTTTCTATTTTTTATTATTATTAAATTCTTATACCTAACTCCAGGATCTGTATCCTTCAATCTGTATAAAATCTTTGGGAAAATATCTACATCTACTATTGCTTCAGCTAAATCTATTGTATGTTTTGCTATATTTGCTAAACAAAAACAAACTGATCTCTTCAATTCTGCATCATGATGAGGAATTAATGCACTCAAAAATGGTGCTGCACCTGCATCCACCACATTTTAAGCCAATTCAGCTGAATGCTTACAAATTTCGGATAATGCTCCTGCTGATACTCTTTTTAATGTTGTTTCTGGCTCTTATATACAAAGCACTAATAATGGAACTGCTCCTGCATCTACTACTGCTTAAGCCAAATCTGCTGTGTGTCTATACACAATTTCTACTATATTTACTTAGCTATGTAACGAAGAGCACTAGCTGCTGCTTCTTTTACACTTGGATCAAATTCTTCCAAACATTATACTAATGCTTCCAAAGCTCCAGAATTTACAACTGCCATAGCCAAAGTTGAAGAATGTTTAGCTACACATCTAAGTACAAATGCTGCAGCTTTTTTGTAGAAACGATTTTATTCTCCCAACGAACTTACTAATTAAGGTAATATTTCATTCGAAACAACTGCTTCTGCCAAATCTTCTGAATGTTTGGCAAGTCTTCCAAGTGCCAATGCTGCAGATTATTGAATTGATGGTACACAATCTAATAACAATGGTCTCAATAAGGACATCACACCTATAAGATTTGTTACAGTTTCATTACCTGCCGATTACAAAGCCTCTATATTTTATGGTCTTTTTGCTAACTCAGCTACTGTCTACACAAATTAAACTCTTGCTTTTTGATAAACTTCAAAAGGTTGTAACACTGCACGACTCATTTTAAATTTATTATTGAAATAAATTATACATTCACATCATGTTAAATAATACAAAAATAATATATTATTTGTATATATCTCATCATTCTTTTTTCTCCTTTATCTTTTCCTTACTATGTAACAATGTCATTAGGGCTATTCATAATCATTTTAAAACTTACTGTATATTATAATAAATGAAACGCTAACCACTATTCTTATTGCATTCTCTTCATTAATCTAAGCACCTTCTTTTTTTACCTAGAAATGCCATAAATAAACTGCTGTAAATGCAAACAAATATGTCTTAAAATTATTTGAAAAAGCTTCGCTCATTATCTTTATGGATTCACTCTGTGATTTTGATTCTAACAATCCAAAATATATCACTATATTTGTTATTGAGAATCCCACTACAGTGATGACTCCTAATTCAAACATACTTGGTTCTTATTGACTTAAAACATGATGATAACATTTTGATAACGTAATACATTATGCAATCTTATCTGATAAATTCAATCCAAATTTTAATGTGTAATGAGAATCAAGAAAACTTGATATTCTCCTTATAACATATGGATTCCCCAAAATTATTGTTATTATAAACACATAGAATGCCAATTTCAATGATTTTGGATCTAATAACGAATGCCTATTATGTAAATACATCTACAATAAACTTTATATTTACTTCCAAAATAAATCCTTTGATAAATGTGTTTATGAAAGTGATAAATGTATACAATAAGAATCCAAAATCTTTGTTTGTATTGTAGATCCCAATCATTGTTAAAATGGCTGAAAGGACATAAAGTGGCATCTTGTAATCTGAAACATCAAAAATCACTGAAAAAGCTATGTGTGCCAAAGCTAAGAGTATTTTTATTAACATTAATTTATAAAAAAATATATATTTGAATAAACTCAAAAAATATATATTAAATATAATAGAAATTAATTTATGCAAAATTCGATAAACCCATTAGTAAAATTTTTTTTTAGCTAAACGGATCAAAAAATGGAGGAAGAGTAGATTTTTAATATTTCAAATCCATTTAAATCAATTTAAAATGAAAAGCCTGATGAAAAATAAAAACTTCAAATTTTTTCATTTCTAAGGAGATTAATTCATTTTGTTTACAACTTTAAAGTTTGAATTTGGATGAGAAATTGTTAGAAGAAAAAGTAAAAATAATATAATTTTTAATAAAATAATAATAAAATTTGGATTTAGATTAATTATAGGAGTATTTTGAAAATCTTCAAAGTTTATACTTAGTTTAAGACAGAATTTCATCAATCTTAAATGTAATAATTTTAGTAATTTGAAATATATTATAAAGATTGTCAAAGTTAAATATTTTTGGTAAAAGAATTAAAAAGTTTAGAAAATGATTATAAGTGTATTGAATCCGACAACTTAAAATAATAAAGAAATTATTTATTATGAAAAGGCTAAAACTTCTGTTTAAAAATATGAAAAGAAGAATAAGATTTACAAGAAAATTAATTAATAAATTTGATTGAATTTTTGAATAAATTTTACTGATTTGTAGGATATAATAATTTTTTTTATGTTTTTAGTACCGAATTCTCAAGAAAAGTTATGTGTCTTTTTAAGAACATGATACTAAAAATAGTTATGAATAAAATTACAAAGAATTAAAACTTTTTGTAAAGTTGATTCTTGATGATAAATCAATAAGTTATGCATTACATCTTGTCTATACAAATAAAAATTAAAGAAATGTAGATTTGTATGTTAAGGTAAGAGTAGACAATATAGATTAGTAATATATTAGGTTATTCAACAGAAACTCCATTTTAATTTAATTATTTTAGAAACTATTAATGAATTCTTAATATATGTTTCAAAAAACTTAACTAAATGGAAATATAAAGGAACTTGTTAGAAATTGAAGGTTATCTTGAAAAGGATAATGAAAATAATGAAATTATAGATGTCAACCTAATTTTAATTTGATAAAGTATGAAAAAAGGATAAGTTGTATAATAAAATAAATTTAATAATGTTTTTGATAATTTATGTATTCTTAGTAGTAGTTAAATCTTAAGATGAATTAGCGGAAGGGGAGGAAATGGAATCTGATTGCGATATGGAATTTGATATGCCATTTTGTAGTGGAAATGGTACAGACTGAACTAATACTTAGGTACTCCAATGTAGGAAAACTCATTTTTAAATACACTAAAAATATTACTATCTTTTAATGATATGAAAGTAGTAAATAAAGTAGATCAATCAGAATATGAAGTAGAAGATTTAGAAAGAGGACCTACTTTATATGATGATGGTTATTCTGGAGTATTTAAGGGAAGTTAAATTTTAGAAATACCTTAAAACGAATAAACTCCATACTTTACATATAGTATGTGGTTGTTTTTTCCAAGAACAAGTGGAGTAGAAAGACCAAGATCTGTATGTCCAATATTTTAAAAAGGTAATGAAGAAACTCATTATCCCAGTTTATACTATGATTAAAAGCATAAATAATTTATTGTCTATATTGATTAAACAGTAACTTCTGAAAATTCAGGATTAGTTTCTGTTAGTAGACCTTTGGCAAATTAATGGATTTATGTCTCTTTAGTTAGTACAAGTAGCAAATTGAAATTGTATATAAATGGAGTTTTGGATAATATAAAAATATTTTAAGCAGCTCCGAAACCGAATGATTATTCACTGTTTATAGGAAATACTCCTTGGTTGAAAGATTATTGTAGTATGATGTTTCTATTAGATAAATTTTAATATTATACTGAAGAAATTAAAGCATATTTCATATAGGCTTAAGCTTAATTTTAATTAGAAAGTGCTAGTATACATTTTGGATGTATTAGTTGTAATCTTGATGAAGCAAGTGGAGCATGTATAAGTGGATATCATTTATGCACAAAAATAGAATTTTATAGTGGAGTATATAATGTAGCTAGAGAATTAGGATGGATGGATTATGGAGATTTTGTTTGGACATATTAAGATGCAATTAGAAAAAACGATAAAAAGAAAGGTTTAGCTGTGTGTTGTATTGATTCATTCTGATTATATACAATATATTTAACTTCATTTATTTAGTGTAAATAAGAAATAAGAAAGTATAAATTTAAATTATATCATAAAATAATTATTAAAAAATAAGTTAATTAATTTAGTAATAATAAAGAGACAATCAAATAATGTTAAAAGATCTCAATCCAAGGTACAGATTCAATATTTATTTAAAGTTGCGAATACAAGCATTGTAAATCATTTTTTTAAATCAACTTTATGACTATGAAATGGACAAAATCAGTATCACTTCCTGTTCCAAATAGTAGTTACTCTATTTCAGATGATGTTAGATTCATAAATTAGAAGGGAAATATCAAACAAAAGACACTAGTCAATATTGAAAATTATTTGTTCTACAAAACAAAGAAGGTAAAAGATGTGATATAATAAAATAAGGATAAATTAAAATGGATTGATTTTGAGAATGCAATTATTGAATTATTTCATCATTAACAATTAGGTCATGCAATACGACTAATTAAATGTTTCGATATTGTTGAAATATTTTGTGATTCTTAATCCTGGTTCAAATACCTTAAACGATATACTATTTAATCTGATTTCAATTCTAATTACATTTTAAGAAAAAGAATTGGTAAAGGTTCATTCTCTGAGGTACCATTAAATATTATTATATATTGATAGGTTTTTAAGGCAAAGAATAAAATTGATGGAAATGAATATGCAATTAAGATATATTAAAAATCCAATTTATTTGATGAAGTTGATAGAGCTGCCATATTAAAATAAATATCAGTTCTTAGAAGAATGTAATCAGATTTTACTATTAAATTTTATGAACTCTTTGAAAATACTGATCAAATATTATTAGTTTAAGAATTACTTATTGGAGGAAATTTAATGGATTATATTGTAAGAGAAAATTTCTTTTCTGAAGATCAAGCTGCAAAACTTATCTTTCGATTAGTTAAAGCAGTTAATTATATTCATTCTAAAAATATTATACATCGTGATATTAAACCAGAAAATTTAGTTTTCAGATTTTAAGATAATGTTGAAACTATTTGTATCAAAAAATTCCAATTAGCTGATTTTTATAATCCTGATGTTAACTATCATTATATATGTTGTGGAACACCTGGATTTATTGCTCCTGAAATATTATTAAATTAAAATTATGATTAAAAAGTTGATGTATTTAGTATTGGTGTTACATTATATATTTTAATGACTGGATAAATGCCATTTGAAGGCAATTTTGAAAAGAGATTAGAATAAAATGTTGAAGGATTAGTTGATTTTAGTATGATTAATTTAAGTATTCTTGGAATGAACTTTATTAAAACTACTCTATAACCTAATCCAGAAGAGAGATTAACATCTCATTAATGTTTAAATCATAAATGGTTTGTTTAAGAATAACTAGCTAAATATAATTAAATTTCATTAAAAAAACCAATCTAATTATAAAATCAATTTATTGTTAGGAGAATGAAATAAGCTAAAACCTTAACCTTCAGTCCTTCATCTCCTAGAAGTTAAATTTCTATATAAAGTCCTCGAAATCATAATCTATAATAAGAATAAAAAAAATAACATCCCATTTTAGTTGGAAGTCACACTGAAAAACTAATTGGACCTTATTCTACTTCAAAAAGCATTCATTTTGAATAAATATAATCTTAACCAACTGATGATGATGATTAAAATTAAGATTTCAGTAATTTAAAATCAGCTAGAAAAAAAACTTAATCATTTGTTATTAAATCTACCTCAACAGCAAAGAATTTTCCTATTTTAAAATCAAAATTTAAATGATATATAACAATATATAAATAAATCACTCATCAAACTTAAATTATATTTCTCCTTTATGAAGTTAATTTTAATTACAACCATTTAGTTCACATTCTTTAATTTGTTTTGAGCACTCTTCACAATAATTAATTAAATGATTTTTTTCACAATTTACAAATCGAGTTCCTTTAGATTTATTGCATTTCTAACAATAATATTAATTAAAATTTATTTGATTTTTAATTCTATTTATTTTTAAATTTTATTCAACATTTATGTTTTACTGTAATGAAAATCTAAGTAAATCTTAGTATTTCCACATTAAATCTTTTAATAATTCGTTTTGATTTTATTATATTAATTTCACATTTATTTTTTTTTTAGATAAAATTTTAGAATCACAAAAAAGGCAGTCTTAAATATCTGCAGAACAATCAAAACAATAACGTAAATGACCACATGGAATCAACAATGTATTAGAACAATTTTCCATACAAATTCTACATTTGATTATGTGATTCCCTTTTTATTATAATTCTCCTCTTGCTATATTTTATAAAATATCTTCATCATTTAATGGAAGGTAGAATTCCTCTATCTCCTATATAATTTACTATTAATGTATATTTTAAGTTAAGTTTATTTAAAAGTTATCTTCTTCGACTTCTCCAAAAGCTATTATCTCTTCAGAGACTTTATCTATTATTCTAAAAGTATTATTATTATATTTACATAAGCTAATTATTAATACTTAAACCTTTTTCTGATGAAAATTGTTGTACACAAACAAATTTTGAACTAGACAAAGTTAATTTAAATTTATTATAAGAAGTTGAATTAAAGAATTCTAAGTTTTTTATATCATCTACATTTATTATAAAATAATTACATTATTCTCCTCCTATTAAAACAGACATATTTGAAGTTTTTCTGTAATTCATGTAAAAATTCTCTTCTGATTTTATTGAATTAAATTTCGCTTTGAATACTATAATTTCCGTAAATTGTTTAATTTAAAATGGATTATTTGATATAAAACTTTAATTCTTCAATTCTGTATCATCACTGATTTTAATACGAAATATTTGATTATCTTAATTGGAATATCTGTAATTTAAATTTCCTTCAATTTCAATAATTTAAATTTTTTTATTTTCAGCATTTTAATTTTCAAAAAAGCAAAAATCAGATGAAATGATGATTCCTTTAATAAGTGCTACTTCTAATTCATTTTTGTTTCGAGACAAAATTTACATTAATACATCATTATTTTTATTAAAATCTGGATCTATAGGAGTTGTTTAGAAAAAGTATAATTAATTTAAGATATTTTATTCAGATTGAATAGATTAGATATTGTAGTTAGGTTAGGAGTAATTAGGAACTATAAATTTTTAAGTACTAATCTCAATATATTTTTTAACAATGTCTATTTTCCATTAACATTTTTTAATTGATTCTTTTAAAACAATGAGACAAAGAACTTTCTTGACTCTATTTTAATAAAAATGCTTACTATGCAAAATGAATAAGATCAAATAAATTCTATAATTGTTCATCAAACTCTATTAGTTCTTCAAACTAAATTAATAAAATGACATTTTTGTTGATAAGTAAGTCTTTAGAAAGTTGAGAGAAATGGCAAATGTAAATATTAAATGTAGAATTTTGCAATAAAATTTAAGTGGATTTTGATGGAGATTAATCTAATTCTCTTAAGTTAATGTGATTGATGGCTGTTCCAAATGTATATAAAGGGATTTTTATATTTATCATGTTGTCTTATAAGAAATTCTTTAATTAAGTTTAAAAAAAATTTAAGCTATATGAACCAAAATATTCTGTTATTTCCTGATATTAATAAGTATGATAAAAAAATATAATAATTTTCTCATAATTTAGGGTATTCTGATTGGATTTTGGTCAAGAATTATAGGAGGAATTCAAGAATGTCAATTTTAATATAGGCATAATATTTAAATACAAACTCTTCTTTTTTATTAATATACTTTTGATTTTCTAATAATAAATGAGATATTTTGAAAAGATTAATCATGAAAATATAGATATTTCTTAATAGAAATGATCATTCAAATAACTTTGCTTAGCAAATTCATAAATATTAAAAATAAGTCCAGTATTAGGATTCTTAAATTTAATTTTGGTAAAGTGCTTATGTTTATAGCTATAAAGAATATTAACATAGATATCAATACATAATAAAATTAATTTCTATAATTGCAGAATTAGCAAACTTTTTGAATAACAACTGATTAGATGAAATCAATTGATGATAGGGTTTTTTGTTAGATTCAAAATTATTAAATTTAGTGTTAATTTTTACTTAAAAAATATTGATGAGTGGGGTTCCTTAAGCTCATATAACTGAATGTAATCTTTGAAGATAATATCATCATATTTATTAATAATTTCTGAGTATTAGTTTTTTAGAGGGTATAGATTAATAGAAATATTAGAATAATGTAAAATGATTTAGGTCAAAAATTTAGATTTTTTTGTGATTTAAGGAATGTTTGGAATTATTAATATATATCGAATAATATATATAATATAAATTATTAATTAATTTTATTTATTTTGGATATAATAAATGAATTAGAAAATATATATCATTGAATAAATAAATTTAATGTATTGATATTTAAACATAAGTTGTGTAATGATAGTACTCCAGTTACAAAAAAATTGATACAATTTTAGTTTTAATAACATCTTTAAATTGCTCTATTAACAACTTAGAACTTGCATTATAAGTTCAGGTGCAATTCGTTATGAATCTAAAAATATAAATTTACAGGGTGTGGTTTTGCATTTGGAGAGGATAAAGAAAACAATACATAAGATACACAGTTGAATCTCAAAGTGATGATTATGATTACAGAACTTTAAGTAAATAGAGATTTATTATAATAGTATGGTGTACTAGACAGTTGATGCAATAATTGTTAAATCTATTTTTGAACTAGCAATTTTAGAAAGATCTAGATTCTTTTTTGTTAGTTTATGTGTAGCATTTATCACAGCAGTATTATACCCAATATTATTACATTAGATTCAACTTACAGGAATATAAGTATTAGAAATGAATCAACCATATTATCTATTTCTATTTTAATATTAATTAATGATTCTAATACTTAAGGATTAAATACTAAAATATGATAAGGATTGATTGTTCTTAATACTATTATTGTAGCAGCAACAGCAACTTTTTTTAGCATCTTTACAAGTTTTATTGCATAATATATTTAAATTATTACATGGGAATTTTTAGTTACCATCTTTATTATATCATTAATAGAAACTGGAACATTTAAAATTAATCCATTTTAAGAGCCATAAGGAATTGATATTTATTGTGTAANGATGATAGGGTTTTTTGTTAGATTCAAAATTATTAAATTTAGTGTTAATTTTTACTTAAAAAATATTGATGAGTGGGGTTCCTTAAGCTCATATAACTGAATGTAATCTTTGAAGATAATATCATCATATTTATTAATAATTTCTGAGTATTAGTTTTTTAGAGGGTATAGATTAATAGAAATATTAGAATAATGTAAAATGATTTAGGTCAAAAATTTAGATTTTTTTGTGATTTAAGGAATGTTTGGAATTATTAATATATATCGAATAATATATATAATATAAATTATTAATTAATTTTATTTATTTTGGATATAATAAATGAATTAGAAAATATATATCATTGAATAAATAAATTTAATGTATTGATATTTAAACATAAGTTGTGTAATGATAGTACTCCAGTTACAAAAAAATTGATACAATTTTAGTTTTAATAACATCTTTAAATTGCTCTATTAACAACTTAGAACTTGCATTATAAGTTCAGGTGCAATTCGTTATGAATCTAAAAATATAAATTTACAGGGTGTGGTTTTGCATTTGGAGAGGATAAAGAAAACAATACATAAGATACACAGTTGAATCTCAAAGTGATGATTATGATTACAGAACTTTAAGTAAATAGAGATTTATTATAATAGTATGGTGTACTAGACAGTTGATGCAATAATTGTTAAATCTATTTTTGAACTAGCAATTTTAGAAAGATCTAGATTCTTTTTTGTTAGTTTATGTGTAGCATTTATCACAGCAGTATTATACCCAATATTATTACATTAGATTCAACTTACAGGAATATAAGTATTAGAAATGAATCAACCATATTATCTATTTCTATTTTAATATTAATTAATGATTCTAATACTTAAGGATTAAATACTAAAATATGATAAGGATTGATTGTTCTTAATACTATTATTGTAGCAGCAACAGCAACTTTTTTTAGCATCTTTACAAGTTTTATTGCATAATATATTTAAATTATTACATGGGAATTTTTAGTTACCATCTTTATTATATCATTAATAGAAACTGGAACATTTAAAATTAATCCATTTTAAGAGCCATAAGGAATTGATATTTATTGTGTAATTGTTAACTTTTGATGAAATTATAGTTAAAGGAAAAGCTATTAAATTTTAAGATGAATATCCAGAATCTGAATTATTAAACAATCCTCACAAAAAGGGAATATTCTAATGATCACTAACAATTTTGATACAAATTATATATATGTGGATTAGTAAAATATTAAAAAAATACAATTTAAATAATGCACAATATCACTGTTGCTATTCGAGTTAAGCCAGTACAACAAAGCTTTAAAACAATTCTTGTTAATGGCTCTACGGTTACATTACTTGATCCTGAATTAGAATTCAATAATCCTGTCGATGTAAAATGACATTTCTATATTATATTTTACATCCTAAAGATCCTGAAAAAGAATAGAATAAAAGATGCATCATATGAGTTTGACTTCGCTTTTGATTAATAAGCCGATCAAAAGGAAGTGTATGAAAAATCAGCAGAACCACTTTTAGATGATTTAATTTCTGGATAAAATGTAACTATTTTTGCATATGGAGCAACAGGAAGTGGGAAAACACATACGTAATAATAAATACAATAATATTTATAGTATGATGGGAAGTTAAAATCAACAAGGAATCATACCAAGAGCATTGAATGATTTGTTTGGAAGATTAACAAAAGATTAAGCTGCTTAAGTATTTCAACATTCTTATTATTAAGGCATCACTTACTTTCTTAGAAATTTATAATGAAACTATTCGAGATCTCTTAACTGGTAAATTATTAGACTTGAGAGAAGATGGGAACAAAGGATTAGTAGTTGTGAATTTATTCAAAGCTCCAGTTCCTACTCTTAATGATATTACTTAATATATAAAATATGGTAACAGTAGAAGAGCAAAAGAGCCTACTGGTGCTAATGAAAACTCTACAAGATCTCATACAGTTTTATAATTAATGCTTAAGTAGTGCACTTTTACATTTGTTGATTTAGCTGGTTCTGAAAGAGCTTCTTAAACTACAAATAAAGGTTAAAGAATGATAGAAGGAGCAATGATCAATAGATCACTCTTAGTACTTGGTAATTGTATCAAGGCTTTATTTTCTAAAGAATAATTTGTTCCATTTAGGGGAAGCAAATTAACAAGATTATTAAAAGATGCACTTTAAGGAAACTCTAAAACTGTTATGATTGCTAATGTTGCTCCAAATAATTATGAGGATTCATTTAATACACTTCTTTATGCTCATAGAACTAGAAATATTGATCCTACTCCTAATAACTTTTAAGAAATGATTGTTTCATTAAGAGAAGAAAATGAAGATATTAAAAAAACACTCAAAAAATAAAATAGTTAATCTAAATTATAACTTTAAATTGAACAATAATTTAAAGATCAATAAAAATAAGAAAAAATTGAAAAACAATAATAATAATAATAATTATAATTATAATAATCATAATAATAATAACAATCATAATAAGCAGAAAAATATGCTTATGATGAAGAATAAATTAAGTCATTTATTTTAAAATAATTTTCTTAAGAATCCGATTTGATTAAATAATTATTTAAATTAGAAGATGCCTTGATGCAGACTCATCTTGATATAGTTGAATATCATAAACAATAGAGTGTTTAATTTCAATAAAAAACTGAAGATCTTATTAATAAATGCTCTGAATCAATTAATAATACAGAAAATGAGTAATTTGAAATTGCTATGAAATATAAAACTATTTTACAATAAAGAAGAAAAATTTATGATGTAATCTATTTTTATTAATTTAAATTTAGTAATGCATGTAAAGCCAGTTTTAATCAGTCAAAGAAGAATTTAGAAAATAAGTCTAAAATATTGAAAAATTGAAAGGATAATAAAGTGAGAAAAGAGAAGAAATTATGAAAAAGTTTAAAGAGTTAGAAATTGAACATCTCAAAAAAATCTCAAATTCGAAAAATGGTAATTAAGTACAAATCAATGAAGAAACATTAAAAGAAATTAAGAAAAATAGATTATAAAGTTTAAACAAATAAATTAAAGATGGAAAATTGTGAATGCATTAAACAATATTAAAAAATATTTGGTCATTTAAATTATTTTATTAAATATTATTGAAATTTAGCCTCTCTAATTTTAAAGCTTATTTTGTAACAATTAATAATACAATTAATTTCGTAGTTCATTAACTAAATTTGAAATTAACAAAAAAAAGTCAAATAATTAACAGAAGTAATTGCTTTATACGAAAAATGATTGGGAAACTTTTAAAATAATAGAAAATATAAATCTAAATGGATCATTAAAATTTTGAAAATTTATCAATTAGCTTATTTGAAGTGCTATTAAGAACAGTTTTTTCAAATAATAATTTTCTTCTCTCGCCGAAATTATACAGAGAATATAAATATGGTTAGATCTTTTCTCTAAATTCTGTTTTTGGATCCATTTTAGAATTCGTTAAATAGTATTATAAAGAAGGGTTAACAGAAGGATTAACATACTCAAATCCTAATAATGGTTGATCTGAATAATTGATTGTTATAATAAGATTTACTATCAATTAAATAAGAGATTTGAATAAGAATAAAATACATATCAATAGATTTGATAAATTAATACTATATTTAACTTTATTTATGATAAAATATTATTAAAATAAGATGTATAAATCTTTAAATAATTTATTTTCAATTCATAATTCTTCTGATTATTTGATAAGATCTATAATTTATTTAAATTCACTATTTGGATCAGCTAATAATTTTTGTGGATGGTCAAATTCAGATACTTTTCCATCATTTAATACTAATATTTTATCTGAATTCATAATAGTTGTAACTTTATGAGCTATTGTTAACATAGCGGCATTCTTAAAATATTTAAAAAAGATCTAAAATTGATTATTTTTAAATTATTACATCTTTTACATACTCTTCTGTATTTTAATCAATATTAGCAGTTGCTTCATCAACTAATATTATTTACTTATTTTCTAAAATACATCTAGTTATATTTAATAATTGTTTCTCTCCTTAAGATAAATTACTTCCTGAAAGGGCAATTTGAGTTTATAATCCATTTTATTGGAAGCTTTGCATTTCAAATAATCTAGATTATTATGATATTTCTAGTATTTTAGCATCACTAAATTAATTGAAAGGATCTAAATTTTCTCTTAATGTTCCCATAAATATCAAAGGATCTTAAGGAATAATTGAAAACTTTTATCTCAATTAATTCAGAGAATATTAATTAATATTTTGATCCTCAATTTCCATTTATCCTTCAATTTATTCCAAAATTGCAGTCAATGCTAAAATGATAGAACTCTTTCCTGCTCCAGTTCTTCCTACTACACCAATCTTAAATTTAATATAATTTATTACTTTCTCTCCTTTATGTAACTATAGAGTTATATTTTATAAAACACTTTTTGAATTAGATCTATATTAAAATGTACAATTTTCAAGTTTCAAAACTATATCTGATTTAACCTTTTTAGCTTAAATATCTTATTCAGATGGAGTAATTAATGGAAGATTCTTTTCCTCTAATTCTATTTTACTATAAATTATTAAAAAATATTAAATACTTAGCTAAATGCAAACATCTTTCAAAACTAATTAAATACATTTAAATATTTCCACAAGATGTTGAAGAATTTAAAAGTACAGTTGAAACAGTTTACATCATTTACAATACAATATTTGTCATTTTTTATGTTCTACCTGGAAATAGAAACTAAATTATTTTAATACATTTACACAAATTATAAACAATAATGTTTAAAATAAATTAGTTATTGAACCTGCTAAAGATTGATACCAATATTAAAATCCATTTAAATTAATTTGATTACCTAAATCAATATCTACATTTTTTTATTATAATCCTATGACTTTATCAATAGGTAAACAACTTCTAACATAAGTGACTCCTCTTATAATTTATTAAAAATAAGAAAAAACAGGACTTTTAGAAACAGCTTCTATTCTTGTTATTTCTCTTAAGCATCTATAATAAATAACAGTCATATAAAATAGTGCAATAATAAAAAGAATTAATAAAGGTAGTGCTGCTATATTTAAATAAAGGAAACATGAAAATAATGGTAATAATAAAGTAGTAACTTAGAATGTTAAATTTTAAATTTCATTTGGAAACAATAAATCAATATTATAGATATCCTTGCTTAATCTATTCATTAATCTACCAATTAAAATTGTATTATAAAATTTAGTATATGAAGCATTCAATAAGCTATTTATAACATTATCATGAATAAGCTTTGAAGTTCCTAATCCTTTTATTAAATAATAACTTTTCATTAATGCTAGAGAAACAATAGCTGGAGTGTATATGATTGGATAATAGGTTGATGCAATTCTTGTAAATTCCTCATCTGTTATATCATCCTATGCCATTACCAAATTACCAATTAATTATGCACCAAGATAAATAATCATAAACATTAAGGCACAAAGAATTCCACAATATTTTCCTAAAAAACCGAAAATTTATTTTAAAACTGCTTATGAAACTTATCCTTTTTCTTAATCTTCTTGTTATATTAAACTTGCTTTTAAATCTTAGTTATCTGTTTATTCTTATGTATAATGTTTATTTTCAAATTCAATATCAATTATTTCTTTTTGAGACAATAATTCATTGTTTTAAATTCCAATAATCTATGCAAATTTACCTTATTTAATAATTTAACCATCTTCTACTATATAAATCATGTCACATTCCTATAGATTTGATAATGTATTAGTAAATAGAATACGAGTTTTATTTTTTAAATATCCTTAAATACATTATTGATTAATTTAATATTTAACTCTAATATCAAGTGCACTCATTGGATCATCAAATAAATATATATCTGCATCATTATATACTGCCCTAGCTAAATTAATTCTCTTTTGTTATCCTCCAGATAAATTATCTCCTTTTTCTCCTAATATAGTTTGATCTCCATTTTTAAAAGATGCAATATCTCTTTCTAATCCACAACATTTTATTATTTATTTATATTTTACACTATCAAACTAATTCATAAAAGTGACATTCTTCTTTATTGATCCACTAATAATCCAAGGATCTTAAGTTGCAACACTTATACGTCCATTTACTATAATCTTTCCTTATTGATTATGAGTTTCTCCTAAAATTGATCTAATAATAGTAGATTTACCCGATGCAGAACTATATATATTTTATAATGAAGATACCCTCCAACAAAAGCTACATATTAACCTTTCTTTATTTATAAATTCAATTTTACATTGAATATACTTGTATTCTTTTTAATTTCTTCATCTTCATCTTCAACTTCCTTACTCATTTAATCATTTGTTTCCCAATCAAATAAACAGTTTTAAATATCTATTGCTATATCAGATTATTCAATTGTTTAATCTAATTGATTACATTCTTTTTAATTAAAAAAATTTTCAATTCGATCCATAGAGTTTTTACTCATTGAATAATTTTTAAATTGTGTTGGTAACTCATCCAAAATTTTAACTATACTATCATAATTTTACATTATTATAGTTTATATAGCAAAATTGATTGGGTTATAAACAACAAACAAAATCTACCAAGTAATTATGACAGCTAAACCTTATAGTAATTAAAATAAAATAAGCATAATAACTTATTTTTTTAGATGTCGAAGTTCATTTGTTCTTTATGAATGAATCTATAATAAACTATTTTATTACTCTCTATTCAAAGAAATCTTCTAATTAATTAAGTTTAATTTATTTTGAGTATAACAATGCTTCATCTACTGATTTCATTCTCAAATCCTTTGCCATCATATATTTTTTTTATATTATACCATAAAAATACCCAAAAGTCAATCCAAGAAATGCTTAAAAAACTGCTCCTAAACCAGGAATCAATGCCTAATTACCCAAAGTCAAATAGAAGACTATACCAGCACATATTAATTGTATAGGACATGAGTATAAAAGAATAGCATTATAAAAATAATTTGAAGTTTAAGTTATATCAACTTATAACATATTGATCAGTTCTCCTGTTGAATAATGTTAAGATCGACAAATTGGAAATGAAAGTGTTTTTTATAATATCTCTTATTGTAAGGCTCCCTAAATCTTTATGCTTATAAGGGAAGCATAAAATTATTGAAATGGTTTTATCAAGGAAAGTAATAACATATATACCAGTTGTATCATTGCAAAAATAACCATATTTGAGATTAAAGGCTTTTCTTCTGGTTTATCATACATAAAATAATTTTAAGATCTTTTTGTAATTATGGGAAGACATAACTATAATGCTGCAACCATCATAAATGTCATTAGACAAATTAAAATTTATTCTTAATTTAGTTGTATTTATTATTACTTTGATATGATTTGAATAAACTCAATTTTAAATTGGATTTGTTGAACACATTTATGAATCGTTAATATGAATTAATCATCTTATTTTTTTTATCTATTGAAATAAGATCATATTAAGTCAAGGGTTTTGATTTTCCAACCTAAAAACTTTATATTATTTTTACTTTCAATATGGGATAAACCCATGAAAAAAAGAATGTTTTATGACATTAATTTTCATCAAATTACAATGCTTCTTTTAGTTCTAAAAGAGGTTTCTAATCAGATTAATCAACTATCTAAGACATAATTATTTATATCAAATATTATCTATAGATTTCAAATTCAATATATTCTTGCAGATTTATATGGAATTATAAAAAATTACAATGTCGTCATTAATATTTTTTATATACCTCATCATCATAAGATAATAATATCGAAACAGAAACAATCAAACAATTGCAAAAATACATAATAGTTTCAAATCTAATCATTTTATTCTAAACATTATGAAATTTTGTGCTGAATTATTCTCTTTGAGAAACTGTGACTAATGAATTATTTTTCTTAATCTAGTCTTGTTTAGCTGCCAAATGTTTTTGATAACTTTATGAGACTTATTTATAGTGTTAGAACTCTATTTTATCTATTTTGAAGAACTGTGATAATTTCTCTAATCTTATTCTGCAATGACTCTCATCTTAATGAATGCTTCTTTAGATTGAATTGCATAATATAGATAAATGATTTTTATGTTTTACTTCACTAATATTGGACCAGACAGGATTTTTACTGTTTGGACTTGGTTTGAGATTTGTAAAGTCTAATTATAATACTTGTAAAAATAATTACATTGCTAGATGACTAATTTTTTATTTTCCTCATTTGGAAAACCTCCTCTTATAGGAAAAACGACGATCAACACAAGTTATTTACGTTCAATGGATTAGAATTTTTTATTAATGAGATTGACTACTGATTTGTTATTAAAAATTGGTTATGTTTTTGTTTTGAGCTATTTTATTTTGGATGCAAAAAAATATGGGGTTATAGAAATATTTATATTTTATAAGTTAATATCAAATATTCAAGTGCTTCTACAAGAATATAATAATGGCATTTGTGAATTATTTATATTGATTTAATTATTTTTTATTATTTTAATTTTGCATATATATAAATATAAATTAAAGTGATAACAAAGCAAATCAATTTATAATTATTTTTTTTACTTCATTTTAGATGGTAAAATATTTAGCATCATCAAAAATAATATTCTTTTTAATCCAATTTTTGTTAAAATCCTTCTTTTAAATTCAAATAATTTTTTTTTGTTATATGCAAGTGATATTAGTATAAACTTGATTTTTGTAATAATTTTGTAGGATATTAATTTTGCATACAAAAACTTCAAATTTATCAAATTACTTTTCTTTTTTTGACAAAATAAATAAACAAAAATTTTTGCAAGATTGTTAATCATTATATATATTATATAGTTTTTACTAATATCTTAAAATAATCCTCTGTACTCTACAATCTATGGTGAATCATTCAAATAACTTTTCATTTGAAAATAGAATAATAGAGGCACATTTTTGCTTTTAATTAACATTTTATATTTCCTCTATTATTTATAATCCTTCCTATTGTGCTTAAACATTTTTATTAATTTCTCTTATTTAATTATATTTTTCATAATTGAAGATAATCACAGCCTCATTAATCTTATTAAATTTAATTAATTATATAGCTATAACTATTTCAATATATATCGCCATTCTTTTAAAAACAACTAATCAAATATGTTTGAGGTCTCAGTGCTTCATTGAAATTTTTATTGATACTTCGAATTTTATCATTTAAATAAAAAAATTTATTATAATATCAAAGAATATTCTATATAACATATTTATATTATATGGCATTCTTGTTGCTAGGATATTGTTAGTTATATAATTAAGTACAATCTTTATATCTAACAAAATCTCATCATAAAATTCCTTTATTAATTAAGTTTTAAATTCTATTTATTGATTTAATTTAATATTGAGTCTATTTAAATTAAATGAAAAATTAATATTGAATAGTAAATTGAATGAGCAGAATCGAAATCTGCAAAATCAATAAATTAATTTTTTTAATTAAGAAAAATGTATTAATATCATTTAACAAATGAACAATATATTAAGTTTAAATTCTTTACAAAATTAAATGAATATCTTTTTAAATTTATTTTAATAATTTATTTATTTTTTTAATAAATATTATATTAAAATTAAGATTTAATTTAACAACTTAAAAATAAGCTCACCTTTTTTATAATTGAGAATATAGAATTTATAAATAATTAATTAAATTTGTTTATAATCAAATTTTAATTTACTTAATTATTGATAACAATAAATAATTAACAAGCATCATAAATAATTAAATATTAAATTATTTTCATTTCGATGAAATTAAAACTCTATTTTGAAGTTTGTCATCTATATTTTATAAAATGTAGATTTTAAAAGTACTTAAATAATTGCTTTACTTCTTAAATATTTTTTTTTTTGTTTTTTAGAGTAATGTTTAAAAATACTATGTTTATATTTAAAGTAATAATGTTTCAAAATTTTGATTAATAAACTAATAAAAGAAAATGAAATGAAAAAAAATAGATGAATTGATAATGATTATTTTATTAATTCAATTAACTTCTTTGAAAAAATTACTTCTTTATCTATTAATGCTTTAATAAGGTTTTGGAATTTTTCTAAGACTCCTTGTCATTACGGGAGTTTTAGCAAATCTATTATTGTCTCCAAGTCTTCTTAATTTCCAGCCTTTTTTGATTGCAGAAAAAAAGAATGAATAGAGAGAATTTTCAGGAAATATTCTTTTTTTTCCAAAAAATCTTTAAATTTTAGCATATCTAAAAATAAAATAATTGAAACCTTTTGATAACTTAATCATAATTATTTTATGTTTGATAGATCATAAAAATATGCATTTTATCAAAGCCAGGTAACATAGGAGCAATAGTTTGAACACTATAATGTTAATTTATAATGGTATTATTATCAGTAATAAGTGTTTAATTATTATTTGTAGTAGTTCTTTTAATCTAAGCTCTTGGATTGTTATTATTATTAGGGATATTTTTGATTTCTAAATCAGATTTTTATGGTAATTATTTTTAATCAATAGACATTCTATGTAGATGAATATTATGATCATCATTAGATGCACTTCTTGATAATTATTTTTTAAATTAAGTTTTAGCTAAAGAAATAGAAGTTTAGGCAGATGTTTAATGTAGTAAAGTAGTTGATGGTCTTGGAATAGATACTACGAATTAATCTTAATTTTCAGAGGAATTATCTGAATTTACATTATCATCTTTATATGCTTAATTATATAATATATTCTATTACAATCTTTAGTTAAACCACCTATTCCGCCTATTCCACCAAATCCTGCTGTTTATATTGTTGATTTTGGTTAATTAGATTTTCTTAAATAATTTAATGTTGCTATCTTTTATCCATCATCTTCAACTACATTTTATAGATTTGTAATAGAACCACTTTTTTAATTAATATATGATTTTATTTCAACTTTATAATATTAATTAAGATATTTACCTTATTCCATTTCATCTTCATCTTCTTCATATGCATCATTCATAGGTAAAGTATGAGAATCAACTTCTTCTTAATATTTTATTTAAACATCATTTAAATAATCTTAACAGCGAATCAAATTTATCTAAAAATTAATCCAAGAATGATTCTTTCCAATAATTTTTCTAGAATATCTTTAATCTCTCAATTAATTTGATGGAAAATATTCTTTTTTTATTATTTTCTCTTTATCAGCACAAAAATGTAAATAATGACAATTCTATATTAAATGATTATTGCTTTAACAACTAAAACAATTTAAATATAATGCTCCATACTCTCCATTTTAAATTCTATCTCTAATATCACAAAACTTTTCATAATCGTCTGGAAATGATTATATTAAATTCAAGAATTTTTCTCTTTATATTTTAAATACTCTAGTAAATCCTTTTGATATAGCTGTAGCTGTTCTAGGATTTCCTGTAAAAAATGCTAATTCTCCAAAACAATCAAATTAATTATAATTCTGAAATGTATTTCTTTTTACTTTCTCTTTTATTTAATTTCTTTCAAATATTAATTCTACTTCTCCTTTTGTAATAATGTAAAGTGAACAATCATCTATTTCATTTATCTTAATATTAAATATAAATAATTTACAGTGATTATTCTTTCTTCTGGAGAATATGATTATTCTTCCATATAATGAAGTAAATTCTTTACAAATGTTTCAGAAAACAATTTCATAATTATTTTGCAATTCTTTAAAATATTACCCCTTAATTAATATTATAATTCATCTTGTAAATGTTTACTTAGTTTATTAACAATTGATCCAACTTCATCATCATTCATTTCTTATTCCTCTTACCAAATATATTCCAAATAACTTCTTATTTTAGTTTATAAATCAAATTAAATTTTATTTTTATTCATATAAGTATTTATAAGATTAACAGTTCTACTATATTCAATAGTACCTTTATACATATTTGATACGAATATTCCAATACTATTAACTGAGTATGCAAATACAATTGATCCTATAAACATAGTTAAGTTATTAATAAGTAATTCTAAATTATTTTTAGCTGTGATATCTCCATATCCTACAGTTGTCATTGTCATTGTTGCCCAATATATTGCAACATTATATTTAGATGGATTTGATTTATCTCTTAAATCATAAGCATCCAACCAAGTAAAAGCATTATTATAATGCGCAATCCCATGCCATATACAACCACATATATGTACAACACTTAAAATAACCATTAGAACTTTAAATAGACCAACTAAATCATTTAAATTACCACTTAAATTAAAAAATCTAAAATTATGTTACAAATTTCTACTCTTAAATTTAAGCTAGAATCTTATTTATTTTTGTAATTCTCAATATATAAAATATTATACACAGAATTGTTTGAATTAATATCATCGTTTGCTCTTTTGAACTTAAATTAGGAACAAAGAATAGGACAGTCACAGTAAAAAATGAAACCACATAAATATACATAAATATTTACTAAATCGACAAATGCATTTTTATTGAAATAATTAATAATTATTCTTCTTCTATCCTTTATTATTTATCCTTTTTCTATAAAAGCTAAATTAATTCCTACCCCAATATCCAAAGCTAAAATAATCATTAATAAATATTCAATAACTCCATTTTTAGTTTCCGAAAATAATTCACTAATATGATAAATTTCGAATGATATTTTATAAGGCAACCAAAAAAATATTAAAAGATATGTAAGTATTTAAAATGCATCCCAATAAGCTATAAATTTGCTATAAGGAGTAAATACATCTACTAATCTCCAAAATGTAGTACTTTATTTTGATTCATTACCATCATTTAAAATCTGAAGATCATCCAATTATTAAATTTAAAATGAACTTAATTAATGCAATTTTCTCAAATACGATCTATTCCATAAATTATTTATAAAGTTATTCTGCAATCTCTTAGCAATAATTAATTTAAGAAATTAAGGCTTCGATCCATATTGAATATCTTCATTGTCATAAACTGATTAATATTCAGATCTCTTTACTCCAATAGTTTTTTATCGTACAATAGGTGCTGGTGTGGCTTAGTTTATACTGAAAGAGCTATTTGGTTAAAAGTCTCCCTCTTAAAATCTAACTCTGCTACTCAATAAGGGAGGAACTGGACCTTTAAATTCTGAATCAACTGAACTTTCAAACATTTATATTTTTCACAATTTATTTTGAATTTTTTTTTTAATTATTGTTGAAAGAGAGTGTCTTCAAATATTAAATAAAATACATTTCTGGTAACTGACTTTATTTTTATTACATAAATGATATTGTTTAAATATTATTACAAACTAATTTCTTAATTTGAATTCATAATTATTTTTTTATTTGATTTTTTTTAACGAAATGCAAGAAATTTTGTAAATTGTATTTGATTTAGGTGAGAAGAGATAAGTAAAACTAAAAAAATATTAAGGAAACACTTAAAGTATATCGGGATGCAGATCCTACATAATTAGCTTAGGAATTTGTTCATTAACATAATTTAAAAAATGAAGCAATTCCAATGATAGAGGAAACAATTTGGCATCACTTGAAATAAATCACAATAAATAAAACTTAATAATAAGAAAATATATTTGATAGATTGCATAAAGAAGCACATATTAAATAATAAAGAAAATAAATTTAATTTGCTAATCAATAATTAAGTTAGAGAGGAAATATACCTTCACCAGTTTTAAAATATAATCCTGGGAACGTTCTATATTAAAAGGGAATCTAACATAAAGAATAATTGGAGTATATTTATAGATATGTTTTAAATTAGACGTTTATAAGAATAGAGAAAGATGGAATAATCCTAAATAGAATATCCATTTAAGCCATTCATAAGTGAAAGAAGTTAATTATTAGCAAAAAGACCACACAAATAATCAATGCCAGATTATTTAATGTAGATGGGCAAAGATATTTGTAAACATAAAGAATAAATGAGAACAAGTAGATATTAAATAGAAACATAAGAATGTTCATTCCGACCAAATATTAATTAAATGTAAGATTAATTGATATAAACAATGCAGAAGTTAAAAAATGTTAATGGATAAATCAAGAAATTCATAATCTAATATTTATGATAGATTGTATCATGAAGGAATGCAATCCAAAGTTAAGAGAATGAGTAATATGGAAAATACTGAGAGTTAATCATAAAGTTAACTACTCAATTAATAGAGTTCTAGAAAACATAGCAAGACTGAAATACCATTTTTAGAAAGGATGCAAATATCAGTTTTTGAATAGAGAAAGAAAAAGGAAGCTATTTAACCATAGTAAGAATATGATTAAAGTACAGGATAAAAGTTATATCACCCTTAAATTTGTAGACCTCCTATGTCTGTATAATATATATATTTAAATCTAGAGGAATGCTGATCATTTACCTATTGGAGAATATCTATATTAAATGAGAACAATCAAAGAAGATAAATTTCATTTTTTGATTGAGTAAGATAAATAAGATTAATAAAATTAAAGAGCAAGATCTTTAGATAAATCAAATTAAATTTATGAAATTAAAAAGAAGAAATTTCTTTAAGAAATCTTTTATTTATTAGATTCAGATGGAGATGGGGTAATCTCAGCATAAAGAATAGAAATATCATCAATTAATGCTGAAGTATTATAATTATTAACACCTTTATTATGTGAAATGGAATAAATCAATGCTTAATTGAATTAATAATAATTTTATGAAGCTGCTAACAGACTTATATCAACATTACCAATAGTTGATAGAGATAAATTGTTGAAAGGATTGTCAAATAAAAAAAAAATAAATTAAGAAGAGTATTCTTTTTAGGTATTATAATATAATATATGTAATTTAGCCTTAATTGAATTAAAATTCAATGAGAATTGTCAGCACAAGATAAAATCATTCAGCAAGTAATCATAAACATTAAATATAATAAAAAGATGAAATGTCAGAATGTACATTTAAACCTAAATTATATACTCCACTTAAAATATATGAGTTTATGCTTAATTAATGAATATGATTTATGTATTTTTATTGTTAAGCAATTAATAAAATATAAATATATATTATTATTAAGCAATTAATAAATTCTATATATTTAATATAATATGCATTCTAAAATAAGGTTGGCATTTGAAAAAATGGTTGGATGTTCAAATATTATAACTTAAGATTTGAATAATTATAATAGAGATTGGATGAATAAATATGTTGGACAATCATAATTAGTATTGACACCTTAAACAAGTGAACATGTTTCATAAATTTTAAAATATTGCAATTAAAATTAATTGAAAGTTGTTCCTTAATCTGGAAATACAGGATTAGTAGGAGGAAGTGTGCCAATAAATGATGAAATAGTAATTTCAATGAGAAAAATGAATAAAATATATGAGTTCGATTAAAATTCAGCAATAATAACTTCAGAGTCTGGAGTAATTTTGTAGAATCTAAACGATTATTTATTTGAATATAAATGTTAGAAATATGATAACTAAATATAGATTAAATGCCATGGGATTTAGGAGCAAGAGGATCTTGTTTATTAGGTGGAAATATTTCAACAAATGCAGGAGGATTAAATGTTGTTAAACATGGATTACTTAGAAATTATATTATGGGATTAGAAGTAGTATTGCCAAATGGAAAGATATTAAATTTGATGAATAAAAATAGAAAAGATAATACAGGAACAGATTTAAAATAATTATTTATTGGATCTGAAGGAACTCTAGGAATTATTACAAAAGCAAATGTTTTATGTATACCTATTCCATAAGAAAAAAAAGTATTCTTTTTAGAATTACAATCTTTTTAAGATGTTATTAAGGTGTAAGGTATAATTAATTAGATTAGGTATTATAAAAAGTGAAGAAAAATGAATAAGTATTAGCATTTGAGTTTATGGAAGGTAGAATTCTAAAAAAGAATAAGAATAGACATAGTTAAAATACACTTCCATTTTAATTTGATGATAATAAGTATTATGTTCTTATTGAAATTGCTGGATAATAATTGAATGTTGATTAATTTAGTATTGAAATGATGGAATTTACTTAGGAAATTATAATCAATTAAAATGAAAAAGAAGCTTAATTTTTATGGAAATTAAGAGAAGAGATAGCAGAATCAATGGGTAAAATGGGTTATGTGTTAAAATATGATGTAAGTATTCCACCAGATAAATTTGAATGGTTAGTGAATTAAGTATATCCTTAAAGAGAAGGTCCATTTCATGTTTATTATGGTCATGTAGGAGATGGAAATGTACATATCAATATAGTTTTTGAATCATTAGAACATTTACATAAAGAAGAAGATAAAATTGAATTGAAATTATTTGGTTTAGTAAAGTCTTTAGGTGGAAGTATCAGTGCTGAACATGGCATAGGATAACACAAAAGAAAATATATGGAACTTTAAAAAGGAAAAGATGTATTAGAGTGCTTATATTCAATTAAGAAACTCTTTGATCCAAATTCAATTATGAATCCAAATAAATTATTATGAAAGTATATTTAATTTATTATCAAAAACTTTCTTAATGTTTTCAAATTAATTGTTGAGATACAAAATATGATAACTATTCCATTCGATCTAAAACCTCTCAATTATGATTGGTAATTTTCTTTTTAGGAAAGTCTAAAAAGGTTGAGACTTCTAATTTCATAAACATGATGGGTTAGATATTGTAATTTCGAAATTAAAATAATATTCAAGTGGTATTTATAGTGTAGAAATACAAGATTAGTTAGGGGAACAATAAAGTATAGATGAATTAATCATAAGTCTAAAAAAGATGAATAAATTTTTTGATTTGTATATGTAGTATTGAAGGGAGTATAAGAAGGAAGTAAAATAAAAAATAGTGGAAAGTTATTATGAAATATATATAAGAATATTCAGTATTCAGTATTGATTCTCCTGATATTCAAATTCTTAATCACAATTGAAGGAGGTTTAGCCACTTGGATAGTTTTACGTGGTCTATGGAGATCTCGGATGTAACGATCATATACATCATCTTTGTATTCATCATCAGCTATTCCAAAAAAGGCTGTTGTAGTTACATTTGCAGACATCGTTAATTTTATTAATGAAACACAAAATACCAACTTTGGATCTACTCAAAACTACTAGACCAACCAGTAGATGTGATTCTAGATAATAATCTCATGTGTCTTTCAGAATTACTTTAAATACTCCTAAATCAACTGTACGTTACATTAATCCATAAACTTCAAGAATGTTAGAATAATCTATACTTAAAAATGATATATCATCACTCAAATCTAAGCATCGCAAAGTTAAAACTGAGACTGATCCATTAGTCTTTTGGGATTAAGTTTAAAACTTTGGACACTTAAGAACTATAGAACCTCCAAAATTTAATCAAGAAAAACAAGCTTAATTATACCAAAAACTTAAAAAAATGAAAATTGAAAAAGAAGAAAAAATTAAAAAAGAATAAGAAGAAAGAGAAAGAATTAAACTATTTGAATTATAAAAAAAACATAAAGAACAATTAGCTTTAGAATTAGAAAAAAAAAAAATGCTTGATTCGTAAAGATATCAAGAATACTTAGCTGAAAAATATAAAATTGATAGAAGATTCTCCATTTTCACTCTTGTAAATGCATTAATGTTAAAATAATTACATTCTAAACCAACTTCTTTTAAATTGGCTAAATTGATTGCTAATCAATACCTTAATCTTTTAAATTATAAAGCAATACTACATAAAATAACTATGTAATAATCTTAACCTTTGTAAATATCTTAAATTCTTTAAGGAAATGCTGAATAATTAGCATAATTAAAAAATGTATAACATAGATTAAATGAAGGATTAATACTTAGAAGAAAATAAACTAGAGTGTTTTTAAATAAATAAAAAACTATTTATGAACAAATATAAACTCCACCTTAATTTTCAGAATCAGTACTTAAACGTATTCGTTTTCTTTAAGCTTGTCTTAGATTAAAGGTTTTTAAATTAAATAAAAAGAATGTTGAACCAAAATAAAAAGTTAAAACAAATAAAGTTCATCCAAATAGAGTAAGAGCACTAAAAAAAAGATTAGATGACATTGATTTTATTAAAGCCAATTCTCCATCTTATAATAGTCCACTTTCATCACCTGGATAACCTGTTGCTAATCCATTAGGTTTATTTTGTACTCTCTATAAAGTTACAGATACACTTAAAAATTATGATAGAATTAAAACTTAAAAAATGATTCAAAAGACTAATGATTATTTAGTTAAGAGAGTATAATCTTTATATTATCCTGTTATTAGATATGTATCAATATTCTATAAAAATGTTGTTGTTTGGTCAATCTAATATTCTGATATTACTTTAGATCGAACTTGTATTGTACTCTTTTTTAAGGGTGAAGGTAGATCACAATATTTCTATCGATTGGATATTCCTATTGGAGCTATATAAAAAGAAGACATTGGAGAATAAAATTGTATTACTGTATGGCCTACTGTTCGTGATTATCTTATGAGTTATCTTGAATTAAAAGGATAATTAGCTTTATTAAATTAAACTAAGTATGGATGTCCTAAAAATTATAAATTAAATTTTATACAAGGTTTATCAACGCGTTCTAGAAAGAATATTACAGAAGAAGACATCAATGCTATTGTAGAAACTAAAGAAATACTCAATTATCTCTAAACATCATAAATTGTTAGAATTAGAAAGATTTTCGGATCTGTCTATGAATTATTACCTTAATTTTAAGATTGTAATCTTTTATCTGATGCTACTTAATATATTTTAAATTTACCTCTTGTACATGATATTATTTTATAATTAAAAATATTAGAACAATAGATTTTAGAATATAGACGTAACATTTATAAAAAACCATAGGATTTGTCAATTAGATATAGGGATTTTATTGAAAGTAATAAAAGCATACTCAATTAAATTTTAGCATTTCGATTTGTACATAATAATAGTATGTTTTTTTAAGATTAAATGCTTGAAGATATTTATGATCTTTCTCATAAATCTATTTATATCTAGTGTGCAACTATTAATATTCAAGATATTTTAAATCATTATGATTATTAAATTTGTAATTAAATCAGTAAATACTGTCTCATAAGTCTACATTTGACACTAAAAAGCCAATTTCATTTTGATGATTTATTGTTCAATGCATAAAAACATTAAGTTAGAACAGGATTTTAAACGATTTCTAATTTTTTTGATATTGATTATTCACATTTTGATTGGAAATTCAATTAGGAATTTTTTAAAGTTAGAATTGAAGTAACTGTATTTGAAAGAGATAAATCATTAAAATTAAATGAAAAATAATAATCTTAAGATATCAAACAATCAAGAAGTGAACGTGCTTTTCAACCATTAAAAATGCAATTAGATGATTTCTGTAAATTAGGTTAAGCTTTATAAGAAACTACATTCAATAATGGAGATATTTAATAATGTAATTTTGATTAAATTCTTAAAAATATTATATCTGAACAATGTTCATATTCACAAGTAGCTGATTTAGTTTTGAAAAATGCATTTACTTTAGATATCAAAAATAGAAAAATCATTATTCAACCTAAATATCTTCACATTTTATCAAAAACACACAATTTTATTTAAAAAATGGATCATCAAAGTCTTTATAATAAAATTGACTGTGTTTTTAAATATAGTGTGTATCCCAATGAATAACATGATATTAGGAGAGGTTTTGAAAATAGAGAAAAAGAAAATCAAATAGCTTAACAATTACCATTTAATAAATTGTTTTAGGATATAAATTAAATTGATATGAGAATAATAGTTGAAGCTAGAAAGATTGAATAAGTTACAGATTATGCTTTTGATTTCTAAGATTAATGGAGTGATTTACATAAATAAACTATGACATATAATAAATATTAAACTTTTTAAATCCCTTCAAGAAAGTTTCTATTTATTGATTAAAATAGCTTTATGAAGATTATTTACATCAAATAAAATCAATCTCCAATCATATTGTATTTATATGATTAACATTTAATTCATTAAATTTCTAATTGTTACAAAATGAATAAATACCAAAAAAGTTAAATCTTAACAGGAATTATTCGTGTTTTGTATTCTCCTACTTCATTTTTATATTTAAAAGATCATCAATTCTATAGTTATTTGAAATCTTAATTACCAAATTATCATCAAATTAAAGTTTTATTAGTAAGCAACTCTAAAAAATTATTATAATTTCTAGACAGATTGGATTATATTTATATATTAAAATTATGGAACAATTAATAATGTTATGTTCATGTGAAAGTATATTACTTATAAGATCAGAAATAATAACAAGGATCAGAAAGAATATATATTTATAATAGTGAACACCTATTTGTCAGTGTAGAATTATATGAATTCAATTCTAAATTAAAGAAATACATTTTATTATTTAATAAGTATGATTTAGAATTATAATTTGATGTTGAAAAGTATTTTGATTCAAACATTATATTTAATTGGTGTAAGACAATCATTTCAAATACAAAATTTGATAAGAGATTCTTATATAGAGTACCTTAAATTATGAAATATAATCAAAATTAATCTCCTGTGAATTTAAATAAATATATGCTTCATTCATTATTTTTTAATAGATAATAATCTATTAACGTAAATTATAATGAAAAGGTTACAAGATGTACATTCAATGAATTTCCAAAAAATAATTTCGATCAAAATACTACTGACAAAAATTATTTAAATACTGTTCATAGAATTTTTAGAGTTATAGGACATTATACTTAAAAGTTTTATTTAATAAAATAAAAAAACAAATAAAAAATAGTCAATGAAATGCGTTTTAAAGAATTAAAAAATGTTAAATTACTAAAGTAAGAATTTGTGATTATTTCTATACTTGCTCATACTTATTTAGACATGTTTTAAATACTCTATTACTTTCCTAGAAGTAAAAGAAAATTGATGACTTACATCAATATTTTACATTTTTAGGAAATGGATTTTAAAGATCATGTTATATTCAATTTGATTACTAATTCTTAATTTACTGATTATAATGATTTATCCACTAAAGAAAAAATAAATCATGTAAATTAAAAAAAACATCCATAATTAGATATGAATTTAATATAAAAGATTAAATTAATCAAAAAATCTGAGTAATCACCTTTTGATTTGTAATCAGCAAAATAAAAAAAAAAGTAATAATAAAGAGTAGGATTTGCTTAAATAAGTAATGAGATCCTAATGAAAAACAAAGTCATTAAATAAGCAATTAATCAAAATAATTAAATATCAGATAATGTTATGAAGTTTTTAAGTTTTACAAGAAAATTACATAATGTTGAAGATAATCATGATAAATTAATTGAAATATAAATTTGGAATAGACTTTTAAATGAAGTATTTTTATTAAATTTAGAGCATGATAAAAACTTTAGCAATTTTAACACACTGATGGATAGATTAATAGAAAGATTTGAAGATTTTTCAGATTAAAAAATAAAAATAATAGGCAAAGAACATTTAATGAAGAGATAATCTATGGAAAATTCAAGATATAATTATAAAGTCTAAACCGAATTAACTGAAAAATTTGAAAATTTAATTATAAATAATCATGTTAGAGTAACTTAACAATTCAAATTCTCTAAAAGTAGATACATTTTGAATACAAATTTTTTTGATGGTTAGATAATGGAATTTATTTGTAGTGCATAATTTCGAATTGAAAGATTAGGATCAGCTTATGTGGAATGTTTCTTAGAACCATTGAATAATAAAAGAACTGATATTTTAAAACCACTAAATCCAATGCCTTATTCTTCTTCATCTAATTATAATATATATTTTAGATACTATTGTTTAACTAATTATTTCTTCAAAGATATTAGAGTTAATCTCAGAGAACTGTTAAATTTATTCATAGCAGATGGTTTTTTTAAATCATAAACAAATTATATGAATAGTAAATTATCTATATCTGATATAATAAATATGTGCCATTATTTAACATACAAAATTAAGACTTAAAATTATTTAAATTTATCACAATTGGCTTTGTAACATTAAGAAACTGCGAATACTCTAAGAAAATATATTATAACTGAAAGTGTAGATCAGTTTTAGACAGATAAAAAGAATGGTGGGGAAGGATACATTTATAGTGAAGTAATTAAAAAAAAGAATAAACATCTTGTTTTATTATAATTATAGTTATTCTAAACATAACATAAAGTTATAGTAAACTTGTTTGAAAATAAGACTGATTATTTTTAGTAGAAAGAATTGACTTTTACATATATATAATCTGTAGTACCAAATTTTTAATTCCTTATTAAGACACGTAATTTTTTCAAGGCTTTATAAAGATTAGTTGAAGTACTTAAATAAAAATAATGATGATACTAATTTATATAAATAATTTTAATTAATAATAATAATAATTAATGAGTTCAATCTAATCAGGATAATTATTCGTCAGCTAAGCATTTAAAAATTGTTTTAACTAGCTTGTTCCAGATATGAAAAAATTTAATGGTCAATATACAGAATAAGATTAAGATGCCATGACAAATTGCTTAGTGAGATATATTGATAGCTTCCGTACAACTTAGAAGGTCTTCTATTAGACTCATGAGTAAGAATGAAGCAAATAAATATATTTATCAATAAAACAACATTTCATTATAATATGCATAATATCTATATAATATTTTATGTTCTTCTTTTTATTTAGAATCAATATATGCTACTGCTAAAAGTCTTATATTTCTAAAGATTTAAATTGAATTTGATTGAGTGTTTAAAGATGAAGAAATTTAATTCGATATTTAATCTATTTTATTAAGTATGAATGAGACTGATTAATTAAGATGTAAAAGAGAGTAATTTCATAGCGAAATAAGAAGAAATCAATTAGAAAAGATCTTCAATTTGAAAAGATAAGTTTCAAATTCAGATGCTCTTATTTCTAATTATTATGCTTAGTAAATTCAATAAATGGGGAAAATTAAATTACTAGACCTATTAATATTGATAAATGAGAAAGTAAATAAACCTATTGTTGAAATGGTTTAAAATGACCTTGGTTTATAATTGTGCAGATTACTAAATTTAAATGAACTCTATTCTAATTGGGATCTGTTCAAAAATATATTAACTTATCTAAATAATTTAGTATTATTACCAGATGAGCATTTACATAGTTATCCAAAATTTATAGAGATGCTTACAGCATTTTCATAGTTATTTATACTTTTAGAAGCTGAAATATTTCGAAAAGGTTTTTGTATCAAAGGGAATGATTAAAATTGTCCTTTAGAAATGGGATATGATGATTAATGTCGATTATCTTATACCTTTATTAAAATTGATTAGATTTTAATGTATTCATCAACGACATTTTTATCAAGAGCAGAATTATTAAGAAGCAAAATTTATGTACATAGTATATGTCATGCATTTCATGTATAAATAAATAATAATATTACTTAGAGTTAAATGGATAATAGTGTACTTGAGTTACATTTATAATTAATATCATCTTTATTATAGGACTTATATAAGTAAGATAATGATTGTCGAAAACATGCTGAAGTATTCATTAAACCAGTTTGTAGTGCATTATCAACCAAAAATTTAGATAAATTAAATTATTTATTATAAATATTGCTCAATTTGACATTTGTGGGAATGCATAATGGATATGTATTAAATATGCTTTGAAAATTAGATTAATTAAATTTTTAAATTTAATGGAGCTTTGGAATTAATGTCAATTCTAAATGAAGGTTACAATGATTAATTGGCTTTAAGAATATTAGCAGAAATAGCATCATAAAGTCCAGCTCATATTGAAATTTTACTCAAAAATGGATTACTCTAATAATTAAAAAATAAACTCTGTTCAAATAAGTATTTATTATTTAAAAAATTTTAGTAAATTGGTTTAAAATTAAGCCTTATGGGTCTTAGAATTTTGTTTATGTGGAGGCAAATAATTTTATGATGTCATATTTACATAAACCGATATTACAAATTATGTTATCCAATTAATGAATTCCTAAGATGAATAGATACATGTTTAAGCTTGTTTTACAATGTGTGCATATTTTCAGAAAGGTAATTATCAATAAACTCAACAACTTTGTTAATCTAAAATACATTTAACAGTGTTTTAATTTTTACAATTGCAAAATGTAGAATTAAAATAGGCAATTCTTGAAGCAATAGTAGAAATATTAAACAAAGAGACATGGCATAGTAATCAATATGCATTGATATATCCATCAGAAAGAGAGAATTTACGCTTTATTTTAGAAAGGCTTGATGAAGACCAATCTATATTTTCAATGATAAATAATGTTTTATCATATTTATGAAATTTTATAATAATTATAATATTAAAATGCCAAAAAATTACTAAATTGGAGCAATAAATTATGAAGACATAAAATTTGATACAGAAGATGAATAATTTTTTAATTTTCAATTTGAGGCACCATAAAGATGGTTATAAGATGATCGATGTATAAATGACTTTTGGTTTAAAATTCCTCATTTAGTACATAAAAAAGTGATTTAAAATTATCCATAAATCAGGAGATGTCTTTCAGTTGGTAAAAAGAGTATAATTGAATTGAAAAGATAGAACCAATATAAGTATTTCTTGAAATATGTAGTGGAAAAGAAAAAATGTTCAGATTTCATTGAGAGTACAATAAAGAAATGAATGGTCGATTATTATATTGTTAATGATTATTTTAGTATATTTGTATAAATAAAAATAGTAATAGATTATAGTATAGTTATGAAAGGGGATGGTTCATAATTAATTTAGAAGAGATGATAAATATGAAGTGAAAATTAAGTAAATTAAAATTTAATAATTTAACATAAAAAATAAAATTGATAAAATTAATATAAGTATATTCACGATGAATAAATGGTAACAACATTAGGTAATGACTTTGGAATATTTTAAAAGACTTACGAAGTCTTATTTAATATATTTTCTGATTTATATGCTTTGTATATATTATGAAAGGCTTTATAATGAATAGATTCGATAGGATTAAAGCAGATATATTTATGGGCTTCAGGTTTTTCTTCTAAAATTTTAGATGATTAATTGAGATAATAATCTAGTTATTATATTTGTTTTTATTTTTAATAAGTAAAGTTTGGTTTACTGAATGAGCTTTAATTATCTTCGATTCCACAAATAAATGAACTAAATTAAGAATCATTAATTTCACTAATTATACTTAATTAAGTTTTTTAATTAATGAGAGCAGAATCAAAATTTCTAAAAAGTTCTTTTCTATAATTTTCTAAATTATTTTTAATTTAATTGATTTATGTATTAATAATTTGAAGTATTTATTCTTGAGAGCAGAAATAAATGATATTTTTCTCAATATTAACTAAACAAGGTGTTAATTCTTCAGAACTAATTTAATTTTCATCTAGATGTCCTACAGAATATTTAACAACAGTAGATTTTTTCATTTATGTTTTTTCTTTTTTTTCACTATCATAATTAATCGAACTCTTTCTAATATTATTTAAATTTTAATCATCTTTTGATTATCCTTATCTCCAAATAATTTTATTTTTGAGTACTTCTATAGCTGAAATTTAATCAATATTAAGAATTGATCCAGTAAGATTACCTAGAATGGTTTCTAAGGTTCCAATTGATCCATTTTATAACCTTAATATACTGAATTAAATACTAAACAATTAAATCCTTTTCTCTTTTAATTAAACTATTGAATCTATTTTTGACATTATTTTCACTTCTAGTTTCATTAAATAATTTAGATATATCTGCCCATTTTCTACCATGTTCTAATACAAAGTTCAATAATTTAAAATCTTCATCATCATTCCAAGGATCCCTAAATTAATATTAAAATATACTTTTTAATTTTTGGATTAATATGATTTAACCATCTTTCTCTACATTATTTACTTGATCTATAATTTTTATTATGTAAATTTAATTCATTAGAAATTAAACTCCATTTATATCCTTATTCACCCTCCTAAAATTAACTAATAATATTAAGTAATAATTAATCTTCATCTTAAGTGAATGGTTTTGATTATAAATCTGTCTTTTATAATTATGACCATTTCTATTTACATTATACTGAATCTCGTCTATAAATCATTTTAGAAACATCATTCCAAAATTCATCAGGTAAATCTCTAATATCCAAGTCTTAAACTTAACTCAACTTACCTACTACCCAAATTAACACTTTCTTTTCTTCTAAAGTCCAATTCTTCTTCTTATGATTTTATAAACCACTGCTAACATGTAAATTATGTTAAATCTAACATATTTCTTCATCAGTTGGAAATTATACCAAATTTGTATTAAAGAATTCTTACATATACATAAATTATTTATAAGATTGTCCTATCTAAGATTCTTAAAAATCTAAAAAATTTCCATAACTTCCTGAATCTTATACAGACTTATTCCTTTTATTTGTAATTTTATCATTTTTCCTAGATGATAAAGAACGACTTGATTTTATCATATAATATATTTTTATAAATAAAGTCAAATTATATGATCAGGTTTAAACACTCCTGAATTGTATAATAATACAGTTTCCTTACTTATTTAAGGTTACCATGATTTACTCCATTGATACAATAAATATTACAATTTTTATTTTTATTCAATCCTTAAACATTCTTATTTTGATGATAAATTACCCAGAATTTGTAATGCAAGGACCTTCCAAAATTCTGATTTCATTAATAATTTAATTTTTTGATGTAATTAAAAAGCAACTTTCTAATTCAATTTATTTATGCAAGGTCCTGTAATTGTCATTAATCTTAATAAATATAAATCATCTTCTGAAATTAATATTTCTTCATATGCTTTATTAATATCCCCAGCATCTAAATATTCTAATGCTTTATTCCATTCAGCTACCTAAACAACACCAGGTTATTGAGGTTTTGATTCTCTCTAAACATTAGCAGGAGGATCCTTTATTAGATTTTAAAAGTTCCTTCTCATTTTATTATTTTATTATTCTTTTATATGAGTTTATTAAACTTCAATCCTGCTGTTAGGAGTGAAATAACTACGTATGCAATCTATTGTGTAAGGTAGTCCACGGTCAAAAAAAGTATTGGCTACTCTTGGCTTAGTTGTTTAGGATCTCTATTATCCAACTAGAGACGAGATCTTATTATAGGGAGTCTAATTTGAAGATGTTGATTATTATGTTGAAGCCAAATTGTAGCATATGCGTGATAGAGTCGATAGATTCTTAGATTATGTCAGATAAGAATATTCCAATTCTTAGGAAGATCATGAACGAAATGTAACTTATCAACTATTTTCTAGTCTCAATCTAGTCAATTGTAATTGAGTTAATCTTTTATGTAAAAGCAAGAGTAAATTCTAAGAACATTATAAAACAAATAGAAGATTGAAATAGAAAGAGAAATATAAACTGAAATGAAAATGGAAGAAATGAAAAAGAAGAATTAATTAAAAGAAAAGCGAATAGAAGAATTAAGGAAAATATAAGAAGAAGAGTTTCATCAAAGAATGTAAGAGAAAGAAGAAAAATTGATATTACGAGAATAAAAACTTAAATAGGCGAAATTACAAGCGGACTTACATAATGAAGCTATCATGCGTAAATTCTAAGAAGAGGAACTAAAGATATAATAAAAATAAGCAAAATACGCTTTAATGAAGCAAATAGAGAAGGAAGAAAGGGAAAGAGAAATCCAAGAAAAAATGTAAAGAAGAGCTTAAAGAATGTTTGAATAAGAATAACAAATTTAGCATGAAAATGAGATTAGAAAAAAAGAATATAATTAGAAATTATAAAATATGGAATAAATGTTAGTAGAGAAGTAGTAATAGATTCGATAATACAATTAATTAAAAGAAGAAAGAGCTAGAGAGAAATATCAAAATGCTTCAGCTTTGAAATAATTAGAAACTTATTAGATGGAACAAAGAATACATTCTAAAGAGAAAGAAATATAGATGAGAAATACTATGTAAGAATTCAATAGACAATAATTGTTAAAATAAAAAAGAAATTAGGAATAATAAAAACATCAAATGATGGAATAAAAGAAATTTTTAATCAGTCAAGAATTAAATAAAAGAAACTAAGATTATTTTAGTTAAGAGAAAGAGAGAGAATTAAAGAAATCTAGATTAGAGGAGTAAAAGAGATTAAAAAGAGATGAAAGCAGTCTTATATTATAATCTCATATGGAAGAAGTATAAATGGTACATTAATTAAAATATTAATTAGAAATAAAGATATTTAGATAAATAAACTGAATTGGAGAATTAAAGAATTATGGCTTAAAAATAATAATAATTTTTAAATGCTGAAGAATTGAGACAGAAAAACATTATAAATATGAAGAGAAAATATGTTTAAGAATTATTGAAATTAGAAGATGCTGCTTAGAATTATTAAATTTAGAAAAGAAAAGAATAATATAGAAATGGAGTCTTATTAGATGTATAATAATCTATAATGTTAGAAATTTGAAGAAACTGATAGAAGATTGAAGCAATAATAGACTGAATATTTAAAATTATAAGAAACTAAAAAGTAGATGGAAATTACTATCTAAAATGAAAAAATTAGAATTTTAGCAGTATTAAACTCTAAATTTATATAGAGGAATTCGATAAAAAAAAATAATAATATGCTGAAGAAAGAAGTAGTCAACAGATCAGTTAAATTGTTAAAGTTAATCCAACTGATAGGATTTTATCAAATAAACCTATAAAAACTAAAAGTGCAACAAGTTTTCATTTACCACCAGCAAAAGAATAATAAAAAGAATAAAAATTAGCTTCAGAAAATAGATCTACTAATAATAAAAGTAAAAAAACTTTAGATGAAAAATCTATGTCAATTACATCATAAAAGAAAAGACATTACTTTATTTCTGAAGAAACTATGAAAGCTGTTTAATTATATGCAAATGGAGAGACACTGAAATAATTTTAGATTGAAATCCGTCCAAGTAAAAAGAAGAGATGAAAATTTTGAACAGATTATTATTATATCTATATATAAATAATAAAATCACTCACTATATTTATGTAAGGAATATTAATTATAAATATAATATTATTCAAAAATTGACATCAATGGATTATTTATGTAATGAGAACTATCTTTTTTTCTTAGATTAAAATGCATTTTTAGTTGAACCAAAAAAGTTTTGATTTGGCTACTTAACACTATTTGGTCTCAAAGTGTTTAATGGTTTTTAAATATTAGTAGCTTAATAACTATTTGCTCTAGTTGTTCTTTAACTGGCTAGAAATAAATTTTATAAATTGATTTACTTGTATATTATCTAATTCTTATATTATTAGATTATCTTTTAACTTTATCAAAATCCTCTTTAATAAGAATATTTTTTTCAAAAAGACCAAATTTAGGTTATTCTCCATTTTTACACTTATATATAATTATAATATAAATATATACATATTCTCCTTCTCCACATTAATTTCCTTTCTCCCACATTCCAAAATAATAAGATCCATCATTCCAAAACATTTTTCCAAATCCATGTCTTAAATCTTCATAGAAATTTCCTTCATATCTACTACCTGTTTCCCATCTATAAATACCAAATCCACATTTTTTATCATTTATATATTCTCCTTCATAAATATCAGATTATTTAGCATTTTTATCTTTAATCCAATTACCCTTTCCATGTCTTAAACCATTAAGAAATGTTCCATTATAATAACTTCCTGAATTCCAAGAATATTCTCCTTAACCTTCTGGTTTTCCATTAGAATAATATCCTTTATAAATATCTCCATTAGATAAATATTCAATTCCATATCCATGTTTAAGATTATTATGAAATTCTCCTTCATATTTATCCCCATTTATTGCAACATATACCCCAAATCCATACGGATTACCCATTTTCCATTCTCCAATATAAGAATCTTTATTTATACCTACCCAAATTCCTTATCCATGTTTTAAACCATTTAACCAACTTCCTTCATAACTTTCTCCATTTCCCCATATAAATTTACCAATTCCTTCTGGTTTACCATTTATATACATCCCTTCATATATACAATTCTCTGGTAATTATTCATATCCTTAACCATGCTTTCTATTATTCTCAAAATTTCCTTCATAAATTCTTCCATTATTACAAATTAAAACTCCTTTTCCATTTCTTTTTCCATTTGCTATCTAACCAAAATAACATGACTCTTTGTAAATTTTTAATTAACTATTTTCCATATTCACAAGATTACAATATTCAAACTCTTTATTGTGTGCTTTATAATTTTAAAATTTATCGATAAATTCCTTATTTTCATCAACACCATTATACTCTTTTGGTATTCTAGTTTTCTAATTTGATTGTTTACGAATTTTCATTTTAATGCAATTCATTGCTTTCACTATTCTTCGAATATAATATTGACACTTCAGAGAATTCTTTACCATTAACGATTGAATAATGCATTAAATAATTATAATTTAATAATATACATGGATTATTGTCTAAAAGTTCATCATTAAAACTTTCAAATTATTGGAATATGTCAACTATGTAAATAAGATTACATAAGTTGTAAGTTTTGTGCTTCTGAACTCCATGTTTAACATATTGATGATTTTCTATTAATTGATAATATGCTCTTGCTTCTTCATTAAGTAATAAACAAAATTGAGAATGTAATACAAACATTGAAATCAAAAAAATTATTGAAAAACTAACAATTTTTTACTTTTATTCAATCTAAATAAAATCTACTATAAGATATTAGATCTTAACTTATAAATCAAACCTTTAAAAACAATATTTCAACTTTTTAAATATTCACTAAAAATATAGAAAGGAATATTTTAAATGATATTCTCTCTTATTTGATTACCTAGTATAAAATCTTTGATGATATAAATGATGTGTAAAATATTAAACAAATATTTATCGACCAATTCTAAGAAGTTTCAAAAGAATATTTAATTCTCTTAATGTTTGATCAATGTATTTAGCATTAATTTCTAAGGTCATCTATTAAATTCTATCCAAAAATACAAAGAAGCTCTATAAATGTCCTAAACGCTGATAAAGTTGACAAATAAAAAATATTTCCTTAACTTAAATATTTAAGAATTCAATGAATCTAACATTTTGAAATCTAATTATTATCATTAGAATTTAGAATGTCTTCTAGGGANTAATTATTCATATCCTTAACCATGCTTTCTATTATTCTCAAAATTTCCTTCATAAATTCTTCCATTATTACAAATTAAAACTCCTTTTCCATTTCTTTTTCCATTTGCTATCTAACCAAAATAACATGACTCTTTGTAAATTTTTAATTAACTATTTTCCATATTCACAAGATTACAATATTCAAACTCTTTATTGTGTGCTTTATAATTTTAAAATTTATCGATAAATTCCTTATTTTCATCAACACCATTATACTCTTTTGGTATTCTAGTTTTCTAATTTGATTGTTTACGAATTTTCATTTTAATGCAATTCATTGCTTTCACTATTCTTCGAATATAATATTGACACTTCAGAGAATTCTTTACCATTAACGATTGAATAATGCATTAAATAATTATAATTTAATAATATACATGGATTATTGTCTAAAAGTTCATCATTAAAACTTTCAAATTATTGGAATATGTCAACTATGTAAATAAGATTACATAAGTTGTAAGTTTTGTGCTTCTGAACTCCATGTTTAACATATTGATGATTTTCTATTAATTGATAATATGCTCTTGCTTCTTCATTAAGTAATAAACAAAATTGAGAATGTAATACAAACATTGAAATCAAAAAAATTATTGAAAAACTAACAATTTTTTACTTTTATTCAATCTAAATAAAATCTACTATAAGATATTAGATCTTAACTTATAAATCAAACCTTTAAAAACAATATTTCAACTTTTTAAATATTCACTAAAAATATAGAAAGGAATATTTTAAATGATATTCTCTCTTATTTGATTACCTAGTATAAAATCTTTGATGATATAAATGATGTGTAAAATATTAAACAAATATTTATCGACCAATTCTAAGAAGTTTCAAAAGAATATTTAATTCTCTTAATGTTTGATCAATGTATTTAGCATTAATTTCTAAGGTCATCTATTAAATTCTATCCAAAAATACAAAGAAGCTCTATAAATGTCCTAAACGCTGATAAAGTTGACAAATAAAAAATATTTCCTTAACTTAAATATTTAAGAATTCAATGAATCTAACATTTTGAAATCTAATTATTATCATTAGAATTTAGAATGTCTTCTAGGGAGAAATCTATATATAATTTAAGAATATAAAAAAAGTCAAGCTTTTTACAAGAAATTGTGTTTTAAAGATTAGAAGTAACAAATTCTAAAGGAATGTTACATCTATCTCAGTCTTAATTTATTCTAAACAGAATAATACAAAGAAGCCTTAGATTATCTAAGTATGTATAGTAAAATTGACCCTAATAATTTACTCATCACTTATTTTGAAGGTTAATACGTAATTTAATTTAAGGATATGCTTTAGAAAGGATGAATGTATCAGAAATTGCTTTAGAAAAATATAAATAAGTTGCTTTGTAAACGAAAGAATTATTTTATAATCTAATTTATGGTAAATTATTTAAATAATTAGGAAAAAACNTAACTATTTTCCATATTCACAAGATTACAATATTCAAACTCTTTATTGTGTGCTTTATAATTTTAAAATTTATCGATAAATTCCTTATTTTCATCAACACCATTATACTCTTTTGGTATTCTAGTTTTCTAATTTGATTGTTTACGAATTTTCATTTTAATGCAATTCATTGCTTTCACTATTCTTCGAATATAATATTGACACTTCAGAGAATTCTTTACCATTAACGATTGAATAATGCATTAAATAATTATAATTTAATAATATACATGGATTATTGTCTAAAAGTTCATCATTAAAACTTTCAAATTATTGGAATATGTCAACTATGTAAATAAGATTACATAAGTTGTAAGTTTTGTGCTTCTGAACTCCATGTTTAACATATTGATGATTTTCTATTAATTGATAATATGCTCTTGCTTCTTCATTAAGTAATAAACAAAATTGAGAATGTAATACAAACATTGAAATCAAAAAAATTATTGAAAAACTAACAATTTTTTACTTTTATTCAATCTAAATAAAATCTACTATAAGATATTAGATCTTAACTTATAAATCAAACCTTTAAAAACAATATTTCAACTTTTTAAATATTCACTAAAAATATAGAAAGGAATATTTTAAATGATATTCTCTCTTATTTGATTACCTAGTATAAAATCTTTGATGATATAAATGATGTGTAAAATATTAAACAAATATTTATCGACCAATTCTAAGAAGTTTCAAAAGAATATTTAATTCTCTTAATGTTTGATCAATGTATTTAGCATTAATTTCTAAGGTCATCTATTAAATTCTATCCAAAAATACAAAGAAGCTCTATAAATGTCCTAAACGCTGATAAAGTTGACAAATAAAAAATATTTCCTTAACTTAAATATTTAAGAATTCAATGAATCTAACATTTTGAAATCTAATTATTATCATTAGAATTTAGAATGTCTTCTAGGGAGAAATCTATATATAATTTAAGAATATAAAAAAAGTCAAGCTTTTTACAAGAAATTGTGTTTTAAAGATTAGAAGTAACAAATTCTAAAGGAATGTTACATCTATCTCAGTCTTAATTTATTCTAAACAGAATAATACAAAGAAGCCTTAGATTATCTAAGTATGTATAGTAAAATTGACCCTAATAATTTACTCATCACTTATTTTGAAGGTTAATACGTAATTTAATTTAAGGATATGCTTTAGAAAGGATGAATGTATCAGAAATTGCTTTAGAAAAATATAAATAAGTTGCTTTGTAAACGAAAGAATTATTTTATAATCTAATTTATGGTAAATTATTTAAATAATTAGGAAAAAACTTACTTAAATCTAAATCTTTCTAGTAAGCTTTTGAAGTATTTGATAAAATTATAACAGAAATGAATTAGAATAAGGAAATTGTTTAAATTTACAAATGTATTGATTCATTTTTAAAAGGTCTTACACTATTAAAATTAAATTAAATTGATTTAGCAATGAAATAATCAGAGATATTAATAAATAAAAATCAAAATAGTGTTTATGGATATGTGTTAAAAGGTATAAATTAGTTTATCTAAAATATAGGAATTATTTTAAAAATACAATAAAAATCTGAAGAAGTTAATAAAATATGTAATTAGTTAAATTTAGCTTTTCCTGATAATAGATGGAATTATTTATTTTAAAGTTTCATATAATTCAATTATGATAGGCATTATTTTATGTTAATAGAATCAATTTGAAGAAGCTTATAACTATATAATAAAAATAAAGGATGTTGAATACATTAAAGATAACTTGCAATCTTTATAAGTAATATATTTACTTAAGATGAATAAAATTTCGGAGGCTTTTTAAATTTTGAGTGAAATGTAAAAGGAAGATAATTATAATGCTTTGTTATAGGATACATTTTTGATGATAAAAGAAAATGATAAAATTAGTATTGGGGCTTTGTAATATTAAAAGTTAATTGATATTAATCCAAAGGACTCAATGGCACTATAATTTTAAGGTTAAATATTAAATTTAAACTTAGGATATTGTTATTATTTTGATTTAAAATATGATCAAGCAATAGAATGTTTTGATCGAGCTATAGCATTAAATGCAAAATTGGCTTATTCCTACTTTTATAAAGGTAAAATATTATACAGGCAATAGAAGGTTAATCTTTATTTCGTAAGATTGAGTTTGATTAGGCGATAGAATATTATCAAAATGCTGGCAAGCTGTCTGAAGAATTTAAGATTTAATAGATAGAATTTCATAAAGGAAATTTATATTTTTTTTTATTTTAATTTGATAAAGCCTTAGAAGCTCATGAAAAAGCTTATACAATAGAGATTTCTTAAGTTATGAAAGCAATAATAAATTGGTTAAGAAATAAAAATGAAGAAGCAATTTAATAAGCTGAAAAATAGAAACAGAATTTTTAAGAAATATCATTTATGTTAAGTAAGTTTTAGAGTATAAATTTAGGCAGACTTAATAAAGAATAAAAAAATAATTATTATGCAAATTTTTATTTAAATGAATTTCATAAAACGACACCAGAAGGAACATATAATTTTAAGAAAAAAAGTTATTAAAATGGTTAAATGTTTATAAAATATATGGAAAAGAATTCTTAAATATTTGAAAAATAAAATGATAGTAAAATATTGAATGAAATAATATTAATAGGATAATATGAAATAATGAAATATGCTGCTTGGTTTTTAGATTAAAATGGATATGATATTTGTTTTTAATGTTTATAATGGAACTTTCTATAGTTCTTTTATTAAGCAATAAATATTGAATAGAATAGAAAGTTGAATTAAAAGTAATTATAGCATATGTCAAGATATCCAATAATTTGATATTTTATTAAATATAAATAAATTGATATAATAATGAATAAATTAGACAAAGAGAAAGTCTAGAGATTAGCAAAGAAAGCATTTGACAGTTTAGATGTAGAAGGAGAAGGAAACTTATCTTTATAAGAATGTATTAAGGCTTTTAAAGTATTAATGCCAGAGAAGTAAATTGATCCAGCATTATTTCCAAATTAATAGATAACATTTTAAGAGTTCCTGCGAATAATCAGCATTATAATTGATAACTACAATGTCTGTTTTTGAAAAAATTATAATCATTATTACCTTCTACTTATAATAGATGGTCTTATTTCTCTGTAATATACTTGTTGCTTTTGAACAGAGTTATCTTCGATACTTAAATAGGAATCGAAATAATGTTTTTCAAGTGTTGGATTTAATATTTATTTAGATTTTAGACTAGTTGAATGTCCATTATAATCAGTATACATAGTTAAGAAGGCATCTCCAAAGAATGGATGTTAAAGTGCTTAATAAGCTGTAATTCTTTCTTCAGGATCTTTAGCTAACATCGCCTTTAATAATTACTATTAATAAGATTTAAATATTACTATGCAGTTCTTAGAATAATTATGTTATTATACTATAGACCAATCTATTTAACACTTTTTATTATTAGCCAACACTTAATCTGATGTTTAACCTTAAAAACAACTGATTCCTTTAGATAATCTAGAAATATAAGATATATATATATATACAATTTAAAGAATACAACTCCAAGACTGAACACATCACAAAGAGATGTCCATGCTTTCTATTAATCTTTTCTCATATTGACAATCTCAGGAGCCATATAACCAGGAGTTCCACACCTATTATATTATAATTAATTCTTTATGCTTAATCCAAAATCAATTATTTTAACACTATTATAATGTTATTAAGATATCATTATATTTTATGGTTTAATATCTCTATGTATCACCTATTCTTAATGGATTATTGCTAATGCCATTAATAAGGCTTAAAGTATTGTTTTTATTTCTGATTCTTTAAGAACGTGTTAATTTTTTTTAAGTTAATCAATTAAAGTTGATAATGCTATTCCATCCAAATATTCTACTATTATTCCATAATGATATTCTTCAACACGATATACTTCATAAATTTTCAAAATTTAATCATGATTAAAAGATCGTAGAATTCCAATCTCGTTTTCCACTAATTACTATTATTATACATTTATTTTCATTACCATGTTTTCTTTATCATTCTTTTATTTACTTGATACATATTTCATAGCAAATACTTTTTTATCATGTTATCTAAAAATCTTATAAACAGAAGAAAAGGACCCTTTTCCTATCAATTCATCTATTTTATAGTGATCATCTAAAGAATGGAACCCTATTAAACAACTTATTTCTTGTCTAAATTTTTGTAATTATTCTGACGTTGCTTCAAAGAACTTCACATTCTTTCTAAATTATTCTTCTTTTTCAAAACTTACTTATATTTTATACCAAAGGCACGATTTTAACCATGTTCCTACTTCCAATAAACTATATTTTTCAAATTCAGTTCTAATTTATACTTAGGATTTGGATCATTAATATGCTAAGATTATCGCTAATTTTATACATCTCCTATTGTTATTAAATTGGGTAAAGCATGAACATAATAAACTTTATCTTGAAATAAGTGACGACGAACGCATTTGAATGAGTATCTTACAGTCCCATAATTTATTGAAGGTTGGCTTTAAATTGTTTCACCTATCGATTAGAGCATATTTATATATTAATAGATTCTATTTGTTATACTAAATAAATTATTTCAAGTAGTTAGCATCAAATCTAAATAATTGCCATGATTTTCTATCTTATGTCTAAAATAACTGTTGTTTTATGTCAGTTTTTACATGAATATAATTGAACGAAATTTATTATCAATTAAAGTTTATCAGTAGAGTTTTTAGAAGAGGCTGAGATGAGATAATAAAAATAATTTATTCTAAAATAATTGTATTAGCAACAAATTAAAAAAATTATTTGAGGATTTCAATAGATATTTCAGTTCATATTAAAGAAAATATTATATTTATAGATTTAAATATAAGTATATTAAAATTATACATTAACTAATCAGAATATTATACACTCTCCACAACATGCTCTATTTTTTGGTTGTTCTTGAATTTCTTTTTTTTCATAATGTGATTTATTTGAACTCTCTCTTAACACAACAGAAGTTACAATAGATTTTTCATCTTCTTCCATAATCGTAGTTTCCATTTAACTCAGTAATTACTATACTTTTTATTCTTAACCATTAATTAATTCATCCAATTCATTTTAGAGTCTTTATTTTTCCTCGACCAATGATTACACTAAGAGCTCTTCATTTTTTGCAGTTTTTTCTTTTAACAATTATTTCTATTCTTATTTTTTTTATTTTAAAAGCATCTTCTCATCAAGTTCTTATTACTTTTATTTTTCTTATTTCATTCTTCTTTTAATAAATTATTAATTTTGCTTATTAATTTATTCTTGTTCTTTGATTTCTAAATTAATGTCTTGTAGTAGTAATTACTTATCCTTGATCAAATTATTTAATTAGTTTAAGACTACTTAATCTTTGTTTGTTTGAGTCATGCAATTAGAAATGATATCTTCTAATTCATCTATTTTCTAGAATATATAATAATAATATACTTAATTCATAGTGAATATTTATTCCTCTTATTTAAATGTTTCTTAATCTATTTCTTCTAATTGAGTTAAACATTTTTCATTCATTTCTTAGATTACATCATCAATGTTCTTTTCATCAAAGTCCAAGACATGTTGATAGATTTCATTCTTATTGTCATCTTACATTTTAACGACAATATTTTCAGTAATTTCATTTTCAGCTTCGATTCTATTTTAGAGTTCTAGAACTAAAGACAGTGCTCCGTACAACTATTCTTGATAATAAGGTATAGCATCTAAAGACAATTAATCAACAACAGTTTAATCCATTTTTAATAATAAATTTTTATAAATATAACGAATATTTAGCGGGTAATTTTTAATCATAATTTCTATTTAGGTATAAANAATAATTGCCATGATTTTCTATCTTATGTCTAAAATAACTGTTGTTTTATGTCAGTTTTTACATGAATATAATTGAACGAAATTTATTATCAATTAAAGTTTATCAGTAGAGTTTTTAGAAGAGGCTGAGATGAGATAATAAAAATAATTTATTCTAAAATAATTGTATTAGCAACAAATTAAAAAAATTATTTGAGGATTTCAATAGATATTTCAGTTCATATTAAAGAAAATATTATATTTATAGATTTAAATATAAGTATATTAAAATTATACATTAACTAATCAGAATATTATACACTCTCCACAACATGCTCTATTTTTTGGTTGTTCTTGAATTTCTTTTTTTTCATAATGTGATTTATTTGAACTCTCTCTTAACACAACAGAAGTTACAATAGATTTTTCATCTTCTTCCATAATCGTAGTTTCCATTTAACTCAGTAATTACTATACTTTTTATTCTTAACCATTAATTAATTCATCCAATTCATTTTAGAGTCTTTATTTTTCCTCGACCAATGATTACACTAAGAGCTCTTCATTTTTTGCAGTTTTTTCTTTTAACAATTATTTCTATTCTTATTTTTTTTATTTTAAAAGCATCTTCTCATCAAGTTCTTATTACTTTTATTTTTCTTATTTCATTCTTCTTTTAATAAATTATTAATTTTGCTTATTAATTTATTCTTGTTCTTTGATTTCTAAATTAATGTCTTGTAGTAGTAATTACTTATCCTTGATCAAATTATTTAATTAGTTTAAGACTACTTAATCTTTGTTTGTTTGAGTCATGCAATTAGAAATGATATCTTCTAATTCATCTATTTTCTAGAATATATAATAATAATATACTTAATTCATAGTGAATATTTATTCCTCTTATTTAAATGTTTCTTAATCTATTTCTTCTAATTGAGTTAAACATTTTTCATTCATTTCTTAGATTACATCATCAATGTTCTTTTCATCAAAGTCCAAGACATGTTGATAGATTTCATTCTTATTGTCATCTTACATTTTAACGACAATATTTTCAGTAATTTCATTTTCAGCTTCGATTCTATTTTAGAGTTCTAGAACTAAAGACAGTGCTCCGTACAACTATTCTTGATAATAAGGTATAGCATCTAAAGACAATTAATCAACAACAGTTTAATCCATTTTTAATAATAAATTTTTATAAATATAACGAATATTTAGCGGGTAATTTTTAATCATAATTTCTATTTAGGTATAAATTCAAAAGGCGTAGGTTTAGCTTATTTAACTTATTATGATTTAATTAAAGGAGTTTTAACATTGGCCAATTATTAAAAAACTTCTTAGCTAACTTAGAAGCTAAAGGGTAAATTTAATGGTTATTTTTGTTTATCTTCTTCTTCTTTGATTTTGAGATTGAGTAAATCTAATTTTGTTAAATATTTAGATTTAACTTATTGTATTTCTTGATTCATTTATTATTCAATTTAATTTTTCAGTTATTTTCTTTCTTCTAAATTCATATTGATAATTAAAGCTTCTAAACTAATTTCTTTCGAATGTTCAATTCTAATTAGGAAATGATGATTCATTTCTTAATCTAATTTATTCCATTTTAAAAAGTCAGGTTCTTCTTTAGTCTGAATGATTTAATCTTTAATAAGAAGAGTTCCATAATCATGATCTATTTTTTCACAATTAGAGATAATAGTTTAATGGAATTTAATCCTTAATAGCTTGTTGTAATTGATTTGAATAGAATTCAACTAAATTAAATAATTTTTTGAGATGTTATTTTCCTTATTAAATAAAAGTATATTATAATAATTAAGATGCAGTAGGTCTTTCATTAGCTTCAACTCTTAAACAAGCGTTAACAAATAAATTAACTTCTTTAGACCATAATTCAGGTTTAGTAAGTCCAGTAGGTGGATTATTTTTAATAGCAAACATAGCTCTAACAGGATGTATATGAGAATATGGTGGATTTCCTTCAGCTAATTCAATAGCAGCAACACCTAAAGACCATTTATCAGTTATCTAGATTTACTTATCACTTCAGTACTCATCCAAAATGGAGTTCCTATAAATGTACCCTAAAATATATATACATTATATATTTATATTACTTTATCTGTACATGAATAAGTTAATTATGCTGCAACTCAAAATCTGTTAATTTCACTTATCCTTTATGATCAAGTAAATTATTCCCTGCTTTTATGTCTCAATGTATTTTCTTATTCTAATGGAGATATTCAATTCCTAATAAAGTTGAATATAAAATTGCACTAATCTCTTCTTAACTTAATCTTCTCTCCATTACTTCCATCAATCCTAATATTGAACCTGCAGCACAATATTCCATTATTAACCATAAATTATTATCTTTATAATAAGATTTCAAAAAAGACTCTATGTTAGTATGCTAACCATCCTTGTTAGACAAATCTTACTTTCAAAATCTTTATTTCCTATACTAAAATTCTCAACTTCATCAACCATTGCTATTATTTTTATTGCCACTATCTAACCATTCTCCTTATTTCTACCTTTATACACATTTGCATATGCACCTTCTCCTATTATTTCTAAAAATTCAAATTCCTCTTCTGGATTATTATTCCAATACATATTCACTTTTTAATCAAATAGAGCAATTACTTTATTTCCAATTTTCAGATTATTCTTCATTCTTCAATATTTCTCTAATCTTTTACTCTTCTTATTACAAATTTTCAATCAACTTTTCAGATTTTGAGTCCAAAAGAAAATTATAACAATTATTAAATGAATATATTTATTTACAATTTACTTAAAATTTATTCATTAATTTATAAATTAAGAATTTGCATCTTCTTATCTTAGTTTAAATTTAAATCTTCAGTAAATCTCTCTTTTTTTCTTATTTAAATAGATTTATAAATCTTAAATTGATCATGTTACCCATTCTTATTAAAATCATTTTTCTAAATAATCTGAAAGCAATTTTAAAATTTAAATAAATCTCAAATTTCAAATAGAAATATTATTTCAATTATCTCTCATCATTTTATAAAATAAATCTTTATATTTAATATAAAAATAGCAAAGTATTAGTTAACATCTTAAATTAATTGCAATAACTATTTTTGCAACTCCATCTATCTCAATCATGATCATAGAAAACATAATTTTTATAATGAATTAATCTAATAATCAATTTTTGTATTAATTTTTTCAATAATTAACTATTTTATCTTCTACTTAACAATGAGTTATCCTTTTAAGGTATTAGATTTACAATTTAAATTCTCATATACATTGGATATAAAAAGCATCATCAAAAATGTAATAATCCCTCTGGTTAACATAATAATTTTCTATTCTACTATAATAGATAAAAGAGATTTACAAATGCTTTAACAAAAATTCATCATTTAAAAAAAATTATATTTTTAGTTGAAAATAGTTATTCAAAGGCTTAGAATTTTAGAAATAGAAAATTATTACTGAATTTCTTATTTTCTAAAATTTTAATATTGATTAACAATTATATGTTAGGAGAATTATTTAAGTTTAAGACAGATTTTAAAACTTAAATGCTGTAAATGATAATAAATTCAACTAAAATTAATAAATTAAAATAAATTTGCAATTAATATATTAAATTATGCCAAAAAAACAAAAATTAATTTCTTTTGATAATTGAGATTGGAAATATGAAAAGTCAAAATAAAAAGGTTTTTGATTAATTGTGAGAGGATATAGTATATGATGAAATTCATTTTGAGAGAAATTTATAATTTTTTAAGATTTTATGATAAGATTTGGAATCAATCCACTAAAAAGAGGGGACTATTTGATCTAATTATCTTTTGAGTTACATTCTTTCTTAATAATCTATTTACAGAAGGATTTAATACTATTCCTTCAGCAGTACTAACATTAGTATCTAAAATAATTTTTTAACTTTTTTATTTTCTTTCCTTCCAATATTGTTATTCTTTTATCTAAGGATCAGTTTTAGTTTTAACCCCCAAATTGTTCAAATATTTAACAATCTCTACCTCGGTTTAATATTCTTTTTAGTCTATATGGTATTCAATTGAGTCATTCAAATCAGTTGTTGACATTAGGCTAATTTAAGTTGAATTTGAATTTAGTAGAGCTAACACAGGATTTGAATAAATAAAGGTTTGCTTCATTGAATCTCTAGCAACTATTTTAATTTAATATATTATTCATATATTTCTAATTATGTAAATATGAATGCCTATTATTTACAAATATTAAATGGAACAAGTTAAGACTTTTAGACAAAAGTTACAAAAATTTTTAATTCTAAAGATGCAGTTTAAGCTTCATTTTTATTAATACAAATGATGAGATGAAAAACTAAAATATTCAAAATTCTTTAATTGTAAAACTATCGGTTATCAAATCATTACTAATTTTCGTTGGCATGTTTATAGGAATTCTTTAAAAAAAAGAAATATTAAAATCAAATTAACAGTTGAGTTATTTAGAATATAAATTTGATTTATATAAACTAATTTTTATAATTGATAAATATTATAGATCTCAAGTCAAATTCAAATAGATATATTATGGTTTTCGTATTAATTTAATTTATTATGAATTATTCCATGTTCGTGAACTGATTTAATAAAAATATTTGAATTTATATAAATTCAGTAAATTTACTTATTGAAAGTGAATAATTATATATATTATTCTTTATTTAACTGATTAAACATTAGTTTAATTTTCATAATTTATATATCCTGACTAATACATTTTAAAAACTTCAAAAAAAAATTAAACTTCAATTAAATCATTTTCAGAACCAATATTTCTTAAGAATGATTAAAAAAATAAATACTAAATATATTTATTTTTTACATTACTGATAACAATAAATAATAATAAATTTACCAACTGGTTTAGAATTTTAAATAAAATAGTTGAAATTTAAACTTTAAAAAGCTCTTTTATTTTTTTTACTCATTTGTTATAATAAATGATATTCAGATATTAAATCTTATTTTAATAACATTCTCTTTAAATTGATATTAATAACTTAAATATTTTCGGCTATTAAACTTTAAATAATATATGCGATATTATAATAGCAAAGAAAAATATAAATATACAAAATTAATCTAATACTTGTGCTTTTAAGCAAAAATTTGTAGTAAATACTATATTTACTTAGCCTATTTAATAAATCCTCCTTTATAATAAATTTAAAGACTTCATATTCGATTTAAAAATATTATTATTTTTTGGTTTAAAATCATTGCTTGACCTTTTTTTAAATCGATAATTAATCAGAAAAGTTTAATAAAATCGAGTTTAGATTATAATGTAATGGATTTTATGAAAATTTATATATATTTTTTTTAATTTCTATTATAATGTAAGGAATTGAAAATTTGGAGCTTGATCAAATTATATGTAAAAGAAACTAATTTGGAAAATAGAGATACTAAGTTGTTGCAGAATCCCTTTTTTTTGAGAAATATAATATAAGTAATTAAATTAGATATTTAATTTAGTCTAAATAGCATCTAAATATATTGAAGAATAATTGGAAAGAAAAAGAAAATCACAAGTTGAAAAAAATGATCATTTAATGATATTTGCAGAGAGCAAGCTTAAGTTTCAGATTGCTATAAATCAAACCTATAATATAGACACAAATAAAATAGATATTTATAAATAAAAAAACAAATTTGAATTTGTGTCCACACACTTGAAATCTATCATGATAGAACATTTATAAATTTAAAATTAACAATCTTAAACTGTATTATTATAGTATGATATTTAAGGATAAAAAAAATACACTAATAATTGAATTAGAAAATAATGATATCGAAAAATATAAAACACAATTATCATAATTTAATGAATAATCATTGTTGTCCCTATTAGAAAGTAAATCCATCGAAGATAGAAATTTTTGGCAAAATTAAGAATCTTTAAGACACCTTTATTCGAAAGATTTTGAAAATAAAATTTAATAATTACAGAATCATTAAACATTAGTTATTATTACAAATAAAAAATAATAATTGAAAGATGTTAAAAATCATTTGGAGCAAAACTATATAATTAAGTAATATGAATAAAAAGAATATCTTTTCCAAGATATTTAAAATACTTAAAGTCAAACTTATGTTCCATTAATAATATTTAATTAATTGTTTAGTGAATAAATAATCAACCCTATATTGAGTTTATCAAGACTGAATATCTAATCTAATTATTTAGATATATCAAAGACTTTAGAACAAGTTTATGGTTAAAAAGACGATACATTTAATATTTTTATTAAATTACTACAAACTTTTGATAATTCAAAATAAATAATTAGATGGATTAAAGTAGAATATTAACTTATATCTAGTTGTTAGAATAGTATTTTGAGAATCCTAATGATGGTAATTTAATAAAATCATAAATGATTTTTAACGAGAATTAATAAATTGAATCTATTAAAAATGAACTATTGTTAAATTATAACTAATTGGATAAAAGATTTAAAGATGAGTTTGAAAATATTGAGAAAGTAGAACAAGTAGAACAATTCTTTAATTAGCAATAACAAAATTTTAAACCATCAGAAAACAATCAATAAATAGTTGCTAATTTTAGTGTTATTTTGTATGAAATAAAAAATAAATACTTAACTTTTCTTTAGTTATGTAAAATAGGGTCAGAAGCCTTTTTTGCTTAGGCTAACCTTGATATTGATCCTTCAAAAAATGAAAAGAATAATTCTGAAATTGGTTAATATACTTTATTATTAAAAGAAGAAGGATAAAAACTTTACGAGTATGATTTCAAATTTAGATTTTAGGTATAATTTTAGATTGAAGGAAGAAAATGAATAGTTGCTGAGAATTTAGGATAAGAAACTTCGAGAATTAATTATTAGGTAAATTAGTTTTTATTAATGTAGTGTCTTGATGAGAGTCCTAGCTATAAAGTTGAAAAAAACAGTTCTTAATCCAAATACACGAACGAATATCGGTAAAAACATATAACTTATTTGATATATCAAGAATTTTAAGCAAAAAATTATTATTATTATTTTATACAATATTTTTTAATTAATATTTCTTCTTAAGAATATTATATAGTTTTTAAAAAAATTTAAAAGAATTTAATATTTTGTTCATTTTAATATTTCCTTCATTAATTTATAAATAATTTTAAAGTCGATTGTTTAATGGATAAAAATGAAGGAGAACCTGAAATAAGTAAATGAATGGAGTATATGTAGAAAAAATGGTTTGTGTTTAACCAGGAGCCAATTAAATACGATTACCATAAAAAGTAGATATTAGTGTGGTAATTTAATCATTAAAGTTAAGATTGATCACGAAACCCCAAAAAAATATTTCAAATTAAAAACTCTTTAAAATTTATTAATGTGGCTATTTTGTAAGAATCAAGTAAATCCACTTTGGTTAACTGTGACTGTAAGTATTGCAAAAAAATAAAATAGAATAAACATTTAATAAGATGTGGTGTAGTAATGAATTTGAATTTTGGATTAGACTTATAATAATCTTAATTTTTATCATAATTTAATCAAAAAGATAAGATTGTATAATTTAAAGAATTAGATTAAGGGAAAGGAAATTTTTGGCAATCATTATTCTATACAAGATATCATGAAGATCCAGTATTTTAAACATAAAAATAATAAAAACTAAATTAATAAGGTTTGTAATAAGAGGAATCAATATATAATTAATATAAGAATTTTATATTAAATAGAGAATAATTAAAGAATAATTTTTATCCGATTGATGAAAAAATATATCATGATTATTTGAAAATAGATGGAGAAGTGTAGATAAATAGAATGAATATATTTGCAATTGATTGTGAAATGGTTTAGACAGAAAATAAATTAGAACTGGCAAGAGTTTCAATAGTAGATTATAATTATTAAGTTGTACTTGATATATTAGTAAAACCATAAACTAAGATTCTAGATTATAATACAAGGTAATTTAAATGAAATAATTAATACAATAGATATAGTGGTATAACTGAAGATATGTTGAGTAATGTGACAGTAACATTGTCAGAAGCATAAAAAATTGTGAAATCAATATTAGATAAAGATTCGATTTTGATAGGACATTCTTTAGAAAATGATTTGAATGCATTGTAAATTATGCATTATAAATGTGTGGATACAAGTGTACTTTACATGACAGAAAGTAACAGAAAATTATCACTTAAAAATTTAGCGTATAAATATTTAAATTTAAGTATTTAAAAAGTAAAAAAATTTTGTTGAAAATATTTATAGGATACACATGATTCAAATGAGGATGCTAAAATTGCATTGTCTCTTGCTAAACTTAGAATAGAAATTTTGGATCATTTTTCTAGTGCTTTATTTACATAATAAAATTAAGCTGTTCCAGATGTCTTAATATAACTTAAAAAGTTAGGTGGTATACATTTAGTGGAATCTAAATAAGAAGTAGAATTCTTATTAAAATTTGATGTTGGTTTTGAAGATGTAGAGTAAATTAATGATGAAAAAAGTATAAGAACCTATAAATAACATAGAAATGTTAAGAATGTCTGAATTGCTTAAATAAAGAAATGCAAATGCTGTCAATCCAAAATTAATTTTTGCATAAATATACAATAATTTTGAGCAATTTGAATCTTATTTTTAGAATATGTATAATTAGGCACCTTCATAAACAAGTAATTTTTTACATTAATTTTTAAGTATTTATACTGTCAATTGGAGGAGAATAACAATAATTTTTGTTAATTACAAAATGATAATGTTTATTTTTCATCTATATTTATTTATATATATAGGGTTCATAATATATCTCATTTGAATTTCTTTTATCTTCTCAAAATCTAATTTTTTCTTTACTTCATATTTTTCATTTATAAGTTATCTCATAAAATCAGTTTGAAATTTCAAATTGATTAATTCATAAAAGATTAAGTGATTCACAATATAATTTTGAGTTTATAAAGAAGTCCAGTAATTAGAAATAATTAAAAATAAAATTAAATAAGGTTAGATGGAAGAACTTTAACTAAGTTTAGAATCAATTGACTCAAACAAGAAATAAAATGATGCTTAAACACCAAGTACAAAAGAAGATAAAAGAAAAAAGGGGTTAATTAAACAATACGATTATAATAGTAAATATTGAATAATATAAATAGGCCAATTAGACCAATATAATGTGAAACTATGTGGAGTTGTATTTGATGCTATAGGAGCACCAGATTTTTTTATTTAAAATGATGTTTTGAATAACCAATTCGACATCTCTGAATGATTAGTTAATTTTTTATAGATATCATTAAATTCATCTTTTCTACAATAAAATGTAATTGAGAAGAATTCTTTTGCTTCTTAGAATCTCCTCACAAGAGAAAAGAAAAGAAAATTCTAAATTCTTCATCTTTTAAATCGATTATTCCTATTTAGGATGATGTCATTTTAAATTTCAAAATAAACACAATTTTTTTTAATTTCTGTAGAACACACCCTTAGAAAATCTAAAAAGAATAATAATGAGCGATAAAAATAACTTAAATTAATTTTACATAGAGTAAAATAAAAAGAATTTGACATATCATTAATACATTATTTAGTATATTGTGAAAAAGATTGTGTTAATTTATTTTTGGAAGGTTAAGATTAAATAATGAGACAAAAAGAATGATTTCTTTTTTAATTTATATTTAGTTTTCTCTTTGTATGATAAAATCTTGTTTATAAGTAAGAGAGAACTGGTTATAAAGAAAATAATTAAAAGAGAAATTGAGTATTTATAATAATAATAATATATTTAAAATGGCAGAGACAAAAGAGGAAATTAAAGCTTAACCAAAAGTATATGCTTATGCAGATTTAATTGAATTTGAAAATAAATAAGCATTTAGTTCAATAGGAAAGATGCCATTATCAACAAAATAGACATTGCCTAGTTTTAGTTTTGGGTCAGCTGAACGTGCAAATTAAGCTAAGTTGTACCATAATAAGGAACTTGCACGAATAGATTTTGCAGGTAAGAGATTGATGTATAATATATGAAAGGTAAGGTGAGTCCTGGTCCTGTATATAATGTAAGAGGAGGAGATAAATTTTATTATAGAGAAGATGCAAATACGAAATTTGGGACTGATGCTAGAAATACTTTGAATACAGGAGCTAAGTTTGATTATTATTAGAGAAAGGATGTAGATGTAAGAAAATATGAGAATATGTATAGTTTGAACCATAGGAGGCAGATTTGATAAGAAAACCAAAATATGCAAATGTTAAGATTGGATTAGAATCTAGAGTATGAATTGAGATGAATGTAGTTTCCTCCTGAAAAAAGATTAAAAGGAACACCTGGTCCATAATATGATCCAGCAATAAAACCAGAAGTGGCAACTCCTGCTTAATATTCATTTGGATATAGGAGGGATATTCCAGGAGCATCAGCATTAGCTCCAACATGTTCTACTCCAGTTATAGTAGGACCAGGTGCATATTTATAGAAAGCACCTGCAAATACTAGTAATTTATAAGATGTTCCTCATTGGACATTACCTAAAGGACCAAAGATTGGAAAGATTTTTGAAGGATGGGATAAAAATTAAACATATGATACAAAATAGTAATTTTTATAAGATAAAAAGAGTTGCAGTAGGTGTATAAGTAAATTCTAAGAAAAAATCATATCCATCATTTAGTGTAGGTAAATCAACAAGAGATGCAAAGATTGGACATTTTAAATAATTAATGGTAAAGGTTCCATCTAAGGTTCATATTGTTCATCCAAAAATATGATTTATAAAAGAATATTTATGAAGAATAGATATAAAATATATATATATAAATTAATAAATAAAAATAATGCAAAAATATTTAGGTGCCATCTACTATTAATTCAGATATCTGATGGGACGTGCTTTTAAAGAGACTGGGTTGTGTAAGTGAGCATATATTTAAACTGTTTAGATTTTGATTAATATGGATCTCGTTTATCAAATGATATAGCTTGGTTGGAACCATTATCAAGACATAGAAAAATTATGCCATTATTTGGATTCTATAAACCTACAATAAGTGAATCAGCCACTATTCAAGATAATGCAAGTTTAATTGGTCAAGTAAATCTTGGAGATAATGTTCATATTGGATATGGAGCAATTCTTAGAGCAGATGATCAAGCTATAAGAATAGGTTCAAATAGTATAATTGGAGACAATACAGCCATTCAATGTTCTAGAACTAGATTACCTATTAATGTTTTAGCAAGTGTAACTATTGGTATCACAATCTTCATTTATTTATTTAGGTTAAAATGTTACCATAGGAGATAGTTGTATTATCAATAATTCAATTATTGATGATAATGTTACTATTGGATCTAGAACACTTATATTAGATGGTGCTCAAATTGAAAGGGGTTCATAAATTGCTGATGATAGTGTTATACCACCAGGTAGATTGATTCCTTCAGGATAATTATGGGCAGGAAATCCAGTATAATTTGTTAGAAATTTGAATGAAAAGTAGATCAATTGAAATCATCATATAATAAAAATATAATATCAGTATAAATCAAATATTGTCTTCATATAAAATTCAACATGCTTTTTATATGTTTGGACATTTTCAAAATGACAGAGTAAATCTAATAATTATGATGGTTAACTTTTTCTCATCTTACTTGCTAGTCTTGATATTAATTATCTTTCAATCTTATGTTTCTACTTTGCTGCATATATTAATTCACCAACATTAAATTATATTATGCTTGATTCATAACCTTAAAAATTAAATCCATAATCCTCTTCCTTAAACTATTCTAATTATTTATATGTCACATCTATAAAACCCAATATCAATTCAGGAATGCCTCTTATCATTCCTCTAGCTATTAGATAATCCCAACATCTAATACAATCATCTATCTTAAATACATATATAAATAATGATAAAATCATCTTACTAATCCAAAGTGAATCATTCACATTTCTTAAATTTAATTTTGGAAACTTCTTACGAATTAAATAATGTATCAATTTTGTAAAGAAGAAATGTAACGGCATTTAATGACAAAAATTAAAGCAAAGTAAATGTTTTTCATTTGTTAACATTTACATAAAACATTAAAATGTCTTATGTTCATCACAACCAGATACAATTAATGTTAAAGCACATACAAAATTCATTCCTTAACAATAACCCACTCCTGGTAATGCATTAGATATAGCACATAAAATTCTCTTAAGTTATTCTTGACCACAACTCTCATGTTTAAATAAAGCATGATTAACCAATGTTCTATCAATATCTTTAAGAATGTTTTTAACATCATTAGGCATATATTCCAAATACTTTTCGTATGATAATTTACTTTACCCATTAGTTAATAACGCTTACCAAGTAGCCCATCTATATTATTTTGGAGGTCCTAAAAGTACTAGTTCTTCAAATTCAGGTTTTTCATATAATAGATTGATTGTTGTCTCAATATCATCAGTTTGATTTGTACTGGCAATTGCCTAAGTCCATCTTTAAGCTGAATGTTCATTTCGATAATAAGGTATTGCTGGTCCGCATTGAACCATCTTAAAAAAATTTGTATTTTCTTTATCAATCAATGTTTAAACACAAGAACCTGATTTTAAATCTTCTCTTTTCCATTTTGTATTTGGAGATCCAGAACGATGGACATTGTTTTGGATATCTCCTAAGCAGACATTATTGTTTCCCATTTACTAGATAAATAAAATTAATGATAAAAATTAAAAAGTATTAGTTAAATATCGATAAAGAATTCTCATGACGAATGAATTTAAATATATATGAATAATTAAAATATTAATATTATTATATCATTTATTCATTTTTGCATCATAACCAGTTCCTGGAGCCAAAATCTTGATTCTTGGTATACGAGGAAGTGAATGTAAATAATTTTTCCAATCTTACCTATAATTATGGGTATAGTAGAATGGAGTAGAAGCTTTCTATTATTAATTTGATTAAATGCGGCCACCCATAAATCCTGCAGAGTTTACTCTTTGAAGAGGTGTTTAGTTAATTGTATCAATTGATTTAAATGGCTACTTTGTAATTCCAGAAGGAGCCCGTACAATAGCAAGAGTTTACTGTTTTTGCATAAATTATTTATTAAATACAAAATAAAGTATACTTGTCACTTATTATAAATTATATTGATTTCTCATCAAACATATTTCAAGAATATAATTACTTTTAGATTGTTCTCTTAAATGAATGATGCTAATAAACCTGTTAAATAAATTGATATTTAATTATGATTATAATTAGAGCTTTTAGAAATGCCTTTTACAGAGCTACATTTTCAACTTCTACAACTACATCATCATTCCCTTAACTTTACAGACAAAAATAGTAACTCTTAGAAATAGCAGAATCATGTAAAATTATCAATCAATTACCTCATGAACTCATAGAACAAAGTTGTAATATAATTATCAACAATTTCTTTCCTCTTCATGAAAATTACAAAATAATTATTCCAAAATTAGAAGAAACCCTCAAAAACTTATAATTGACTAAAGGCACTATATTCTAGGATCAGGTTGAATAAATCACCGCAGAACAGATTTATGAAATGATAATTTTGATCGTTGATTTTGCAGATAAATTAAACATTGGTTTTTTAACAGGCGACATTCACCCACTATCTTTTAATATAATTTAAAGAGAAATTGAAATTACTTAAGATTTTGATCTGTTAGTTGAGAATCTTAAAAAGTCTTTATTCAACATCGGAAAATAGTACAAATTACCTCTAAATGGTATCAATATCCAGACAGTGAAAACCATCGAAACTTATTTGAAAGACAATTAGTAATTGAATAAGTGTCGAATGAATTGGCACTTGACAAATTCTAATAAGTTTTATAGAGAATGTCAAAGGCATAACATTTGTTTGCTGCTTAAAAATACATAGTTGAATGGTTCCCTAAGTTATGTGCTTTAGTTTAATAGGAGTAAATTCAATGTTTAAGTGAACCAAATAAGGAATAATAAGGGTATTATTAATATATTACAGCAATTCAGAGTGAGAAATTGGCAATAATAGCTTTATCAGAATTGATGAAGGAATTTATAGAAGCAGCTGTGTTATTTCATGAAGAGAAGACTACATTAAATTGTTATTAGATAAGAGTAACTCGTTTGGCAAATAGAATAGGAGAGTAGATAAAGAAATAGCATTTGTATGAAGAGGAATAGAAGAATTTGAGAAGGAAAAGTAAGGAAGATATTTAGAAAATTATAGATGAAGGGACAGTAGCATAAGATTAATCTGAGTAGGAGATATAAAATTAGAAGGAATTGTTTTATAAGTAAGCAGTAGTAAAGGCAGGTAAATTATTAAAGAATTAGGAGGAGAGATTGAGAGAGAGAATAAAAAATAATAGAATATATTTGGCAAAGTATGGTTAGATAATGCCAAAAGATATAGCATCTTAGATAGGTATGGTATTAGTGTAATTTTTGGTTGATTCAATTAAATTTAGAAATGAGAATAATTTTTGGGTACCAGTATTGGTATAAGGATATAAGAAGGTAAAGTAAGATATTGAAGTATAATGTAAATTAATTATTTTTACATCATTTATCAGCAGGTATGCATAAGGATAATTCATATTTTATGCATTTGGATAGAGCATTGCCAATGATATATCCACCAGCAAAATGGATGGATACATAAATAGGTGGTTATTATTTGAAACCAACTAATTTAATAAGAATATAGGATTAATCATTATAAGAAGATGCAGCAAAGAGAACTAATCTTTAAAGTTTATATGATATTGTAGATAATATTAGTAAAGTAGCTTGGAGAGTAAATAATAAGGTTTTGAATATAATAATGTAAGTATGGGAATAAGGTGGAGGGATAGCAGAGATTCCAAAAAGATAACATGATAAGACATATGTTTTTGAGCATTAAATAAGGGAATGTAAGAATTATGAAGAGAAATATTAATTATTAAAAAAGATTTAGTCTTAAAGAGATTTATATTCATTATAATGTGATTTTACTTTAAAGTTGGGTGTAGCAGTGGCATTTAATGGATGTTCAAAGATATATTTTCCACATAATATGGATTTTAGAGGTAGATTATATCCAATACCTCCTCATTTAAATCATATGGGTCCAGATATAGGAAGAGGATTATTAGAATTTTCTGAAGGTAAGAAATTAGGTAAGAGTGGTTTAAGATGGTTAAAAATACATTTAGCAAATAAAATGGGTAAAGATAAATTATCAATGTCTGATAGAGAAGCTTATGTGGATTAGAATATAGATTAAATACTAAAATGTGCAGAAGATCCTATAAAACATTAAGATTGGGCTTAATTGGAAGATGCTTGGTAAAGTTTAGCAGCAATGTTTGATTATGTAGGAGCAATAAAATCTAATAATGCAGAAGAATATATATCTCATTTACATGTTCATTAAGATGGATCATGTAATGGTCTATAACATTATGCAGCATTAGGAAGAGATGTTGAAGGTGCTACTTAGGTAAATCTAGCAAATACATCTAAGCCTGGAGATGTATATACACATGTAGCTGGAATGGTTGAAAGAAAAGTAGATAATGATGCTTAAGATACTTCTAGTAAAGATCATATAATTGCTCTCAAATTATGAAATTAAATAAAAAGAAAGATTGTTAAATAGACAGTTATGACATCTGTTTATGGTGTTACTTTTATTGGAGCAAGAGAATAAATACATAGATAATTAAAGGATAAAGGTATTATTGGAGATGATGATCACTTATGATATTAAGCATCTATCTATCTAGCTAGAATTACATTAGATGCTATCAAAGATCTTTTTGAAGGTGCACATAAAATTAAATAATGGCTTATCAAATGTGCCACAATTATATCTAATGAAAATTAACCAGTAAGCTGGATTACTCCTCTTGGTCTACCTGTTATACAACCATATCGTACACTAAACAAATATGATGAAGTTAAAACTTTAATTAGTAATGTTTCCATTGAACCAGATTCTGCTTATGTAATTTATTATTAAATATCATCTAGTTACCTATCAATAAAGTTAAATAAAGATCTGCATTTCCACCTAATTTCATTCATTCTTTAGATTCTACACATCTTATGTACTCTTCTATTGAATGTCTCAAATAGTAACAAATATCATTTATTAATTCTAGAAATATTACATTTGCAGCTGTTCATGATAGATATTGGACACATGCATGTCATGTAGATAAATTAAATGAATTGCTCAGAGGACAATTTGTTAAATTACATTCTCAACCACTCTTAGAAAATTTACGAGATTCCTTCTAAAGAAGGTTTCCTCATCTACAATTTCCTCCTATAATAGAAAGAGGATAATTTGATTTAGAAAAAGTCAAGTAAAGTGTGTACTTCTTTGCTTGATATATATTATCTATATATATATATATGTTTCATTATCTAAATTGTGTTATAAATCAATTCATTTATTTATATTTACAATTGAGACATATATTATTATTATATTTATAAAATTACGATGGACAGACGACATGAGAAAAAGAAGAGTGATAGCAGTAATACTTTAAGAATCAAAAAGAGAGAAAGTGAAGAAATAGAAGTTCATAATTAGAATTCGGATCGGTTTAATTCTAATCATTCATAATTCAAGCACTCACTTAATATATCTGATAAAAGTAGTTTTCTCGGTCTCTAGAATCCGTTATTATCATAGGATAGTATCTCTGACCGAGCAAATTGTAGTAAAAGATATTCTTAAGATGATTTTCAAAATTAAATAGACTATGAATAACCCATTCCTTTAATTCATCAAATTGAAAATGAAATTAGATAACGTTGTAGAGCAGACCTAATTAAATAAACAAAGTGTTATGGTGATATAAGTGAACACACTATCCTCAATCTTAAAACAACAATTGAAATAGACGTTGATAATGATATTTTACGTAAATATAACAAACTTTGCATTCGAGACTACAAAAGGGATCCTTACTATATTAAATTAGTGGATTTACATGGATATCAAAGAATAAAACATGAACTGCAAGTAGTGTTATTATCTTACCTATATTTAGAATTATAATGATCCATATGCTTTGTTGAACTTACGTAAAATCATCGTTTACATCTCATTTGTAATTCCTATAATTACAAAAACAATAGTTAATTCTACTGCGTTTCAATTATTAATGACAATATTGATTCTTTTTAATATTACACTTTATACAATAGTGAAAACAGAGCATCGAGAAGACACTGGAGAAATGGAATAAATAATCACAATACTATTTTTCACTGAAATAGGATTACGTATAATTTCATAAGGACTTTTCTTTTCAAAACATGCATATTTTGTAAATTTTTCAAGCATTTTTGATTTTTCAATTGTAATGTTGTCAGCCATTAATTAATATAGGCCAGATATCATAATTATAGATTTGTCGCCTCTGCGTATTATTACCTTATTATAATATTTGGGTGATATTTTTGATGGTTTAAGAGTTATGTTGACAGCTTTAAGATAATCGATTCGATATATATTAGAGGCATTAGCAATAGTAGGATTATTCTCATTATTTTTTGCTTTAGCAGGATTGTTTTTATTTCATGGATTATTTAATTATAGATGTGTTCCTATCAATCAAGAAATTGGAGATGATTGGATTTAATGTAATATTGATCAATGTCCTGAGGGAATGGAATGCAAATATGTTGAATAAACAATTAAATTACCAACATCTTTTAATAATATAATTTATTCATATGGATAGATTTTAAGAACTATAACTATGGATGATTGGAGTTGGGTCATGTTTTTTACTATTCGAATATTCAATCCTTGGGTTTGGATATATTATTTATTGATCATTTTTGTATGCGGTTTTTTTAGTTTTAATTTAGTTATAGCTGTATTGAAAACTCATTATGCTGAAGCAGCTGAACAATTCTTTCATTAATAGGAAAAATAAGAAATCAATAAACAATTATTAGAAGAAAAATCCAATCAAGGTAAAGATGTTCAAGATTTTGCAATGCTTCGTTATATTGGATTTCATAAGACTTTTACTAAATATTATAAATTGCTTAATCATTCAAAAAAAGTAACTTAATTTAAATTAGAAGACTTTTAATCCAAAAACTCTACTCAACCTCGATTGCTATCAGCTAAATAGAGATTGAATAACAATACATCTGTAAAATATTATGATTCATTTCATAGAACAACTGTATTGATAAATTATTTGAGTATTTAACAGATTTGACACTCAAAAACATTTTGTTAACCAAATTCAAATACCTCAGTAAACAACAAAAATAAATTAATCTAAAGAATTATACCGATGATGAAGATTACCTTAAATTTTTGGAAGATCTAACCAAATTTGAATTTGCCTAATTATCAAAATAAGTCAATCCAAAATAATTACAAAAATATACAAGTTTAGAAGATGTGTTACCATCCTTTGCGTATTAATATACTTTCTATATCACAATAGAAACATTTAAAATTCCAAGGAAAATATAGATGAGAAAGGAATCGATTATGGCAAATATTAATGTTCCTTCGAATACTAGGTTCCATAATAAAATTAATATCAATAATAAATAATGAAATCTAACAATATTACACATAGTTTTAAATGTCCAATAAAGAAAAGTTATAGAGCAAAAAAGAAATAAGGATATAAAGATGCAGAATCTTAACGTTCACATATTGTACGTGCAACATGTATTCGAAATGAAAAGAAGACTTACAAAGGTTTTAGTAAATAGATGATAAGATCAAAACAGAAGAATCCATTCACAATTAAGAAGGGAAATAACATATATTTATTTATTTAAGGTTGTTATTGGAGGTAAGATAAAATTACAATAAAATTAAAGTAAAAGATAGAGAGAGAGAAGATTACAAGTATTCCTTATGATATTGAATACAAAAATATGAGATTTTAGGAAATTAAAAAAAAAAGAATTGTTGATTTTAATTGGTCTGGAAATGATGTTATCGAAAATCAGTATGCAAATTTAAATATAAAAAATATTCTTATGACATTAAATAAAATAGATTACATAGTTTGGGTAAAAGGTTTATCAGGTATATTACAAATTCTCAGGAAATATATAAATAGAATAGTTTCTAGTAAATTCACTGAGATTGCTTTAGATCTAATAATATTCATTAACTTTACATTTTTATCGTTATATGGAATAGTTGATGCCTAAATTATATCTCAAGTAGAGGATATAACAACGATTCTGCTTTCGATTGAAACATTTTTTCGATATTGTAGTATTTCATTTAAAGAATTATCAAACAATGATGAGAGTATTTTGTAAACTTTGATAGTTATGTTAAATTTTATTGAATTTACAATGAGTGATTATATGACTATAACTGAGCAGAATTTAAGATTGATTAGAGGAACAAAATGCTTATTATTTTATAGATGTTTAAAATATAATAGTATGGCTGTAACAATTGGACACATAGCATCAAAAACATTTAAATCATATATTTATCTTACATTTTTAATGTTTGTTGTAATATTTTTGTATGCACTTGTTGGTATGGAAGTATATGCTGGAGAATTTGATTAGAATGATGTATTAGGATAATTACATTCTTATGACAATGTTCTGAAATCCTTTATGACTGTTTTTAATATCATGACTAATGATGATTGGTATGGTGTATTTGTATTAGGAACTGGGATTAATGAAACATTTGGAATTGTATATTCATACTCTATGGTTATAGTACTCAACTATTTAACATATGGCTTAGTATTAGCTATTTTATTAGATGGATTTAGTAAGTATCTAGATAGATAGATATTTTCAGAAATAGAAGAAACTGACAAATTTTAAATGGGATCTTCAAATAATAATGAAACAAATATTATTGCTTTTCCTTAAATATAAAATTAGATTATTAAGAAGCGTAAAAATAAATAAAAGACTGCTTTGATTTAACATTTAATAAATTCTATTAGATAGATAAACTAAAAAATATTAGATGAATCACCTGAGATTTATGATGGAATATAATGTGAGTAATCTTTATTCTTTTTTAATAAATCCAATAGTCTTCGAAAGATATTTATGATAATTGCTAGATCAAGATTTTATATTTTAATAAATGATTCAGCTTTATCAGCATCAATAATAATTTTTATTATTTAAACCTATAATGATTATGAAGAGAACAAAGAAACTTATCATTAAGAGATTTAATTTTATATTAACATAATATTGGCAGTAGAATATATTATAAATGTAATAGCCAAAGGATTATTCATCGATAGCGGTTCACATTTTAATTCAATCTGGTAAATTGTAGATGTTTTTTATATAATAGCTTTCTTTATATAATATGAGAAAGATTACTATGTAAAACCAATATTTTAGATACTTCTTTATTTTGGATACTTTAGACCATTTAATCTTTTAAGTAGAATAAAGTTTTTGAATGTATTAAGTTCAGCACTTTATTAATCTTTAGTAGATATATTGAATGTATTATTAACACTTTTTTCGGTTTGGATAATATTTGGAGTTTATGGAATCATATTATATGAAGGTTAATTTGGTTTTTGCGAAGATAAAATGTAATTTAGAGTTACATATGAAGAATGTATTTAGTAAAATAGAACATGGATTAATTTTAAACATAATTTTGATAATATAACAATGGCTATTCCAACATTATTTACAGTATCAACATTTGATGGTTGGGGTGAAATGCTTCAAATTGCATAAAATAGTGATAATCGTAATGTAGGACCTGTACCATTTAATAGCTATATTCATACTTATGTATTTTTTATAACTTTTTGTTTTATTGGATCTATGTTTTTCCTTAGTTTATTTACAGGAGTATTGTTTTCTAATTTAAAAGCTAATCAAAGTAAAATAGAACAAGGGGAATTAAATTAAAATTAAAAAGAATTTATTGAAATATCTGAAATAATTACAAAAGATATTCCAATATTTTCTACACCTCCAGATAATGTTATTAGAAGATTTGCATCAATTATAATGAATAATTCTATAATGTAATCTTTCTTTTTTCTTATCCTTTTATTAGATGTTGTTAATAATATTCTTTTTCATTCTGGAATGAATATGTAATATTTAGAAATTATTAATTATATTCATCATATTTTTTCAATCCTCATCATAATTTGGGGTATGCTTCAATATTTGGCTTTGGGATTATTTAGATTCTTTGATAATTATTGGAGATAATTTCTATTTATTTTAAATATCTTTGCCATTATTGATCTTGTTATGGATCTAAAATATAATTGGATTGGAATCTATTATTATTCAAATCCTTTAACACAATATTTTAGACTGTATAGATTATGTTTTGCATTAAGAAGTTTAAGATTGATCCTTATATTCTAAGGTTTGATTAATATATAGAGATTGATGAGAGTAATGGTATATGCACTTCCATTCTTAGGTAAAATATTCTTCATTCTAATTGATACTATGGTAGTCTTTGCTCTATTTGGATGTTAATTATATGGATAAATAGATTAAGGATAAGTTATGGATGAATAAATCAATTTTCATAACATTGCATAAGCTATGTTAACTTTATTTAAATGTGCATCAGGAGATGATTGGAGAACTATTATGACAGATACCATGCATCATAATCCTAATTGTTCTTCAGATTCATTATATTGTGGTTCTACTTACAGCTAAATTTACTTTTTTTTATTTATGTTATTATCTAATTATGTCTTTTTAAACTTATTTGTTTTAGGACTCATTGAATAATTTGAATCCTTTTTTTAAGTTTAAAATTCCATCATATAAACTTATGTTGAAAATGAAGATCGAATTAAAACTATATGGTGCAAGTATTTATAATATTATAAATAAAGATACTCTCCTGAAACTTAAGGTAAAGCTATGCACTATAAATTTCTTTGCAGATTCCTATTAGATCTTGGATCTCCATTAGGAAGAGGAAAAGAAGAAAATCTATGGGATGCTGCCAAATAAGCATCTGCATTTAAATTAAAATGGTAATTAATCATATTTATATTGTTTTTAGTGATCATCATGGTTATATACAATATAATCAATTAATTTATGAATTATTTAGAACATGTTTTCAAGATGATGTATTCAAAACTGGAAGTAAAAAGGCTATCAAATAGATTAAGTAATATAATAAAGAGATGCAAATGAAATTAATGAATTATAGGAGAAATCTATTTATCAAACGAGCCAATATATGTTTAGTTGATCTTAGAACTAATTTCAATATTTTACATGACTACTTAAATGTTCTAATCGTTTTCAAAGCATGGGAATCTCACTCTAAATGCTTAATTAAATAAATTAATAAAAGAAGTCTAGAATATACTGAAAATACTGAATCTGATGAATAAAACCCAGAAGAGTATTTTTATCATATTGATTTTATGAAAGACTTTAGTAGAGTGGACGTTCTTTTTTAAATGAATAGAGCATTTTAAGAGAATCTGTTTAAATTAGTGACATCGATAGAATCCAACCAGTAGTTACAGATGAAAACTAATCTTAGCATCTTCTAACTTTTTAAAGTTAAGAAATTGTATCAATGCCACAACTACCACATTATGATAATTAAGAGTAGATCTATCATCCAAAATAATGAATTAAGTTTGATAAATATTTATTTTTTGTAATTAGTTATTATATATATTCATTACTCAAAACTTAATAGCTTTTTAAATATCATATTAACTGTAGTATTATTTTAACAATTCCACTTTACAAAAATGAATGTTATTTAATTACATAATCAAAATGATTAGTTTGCTGGATTAATCTATATACTTTGACCAATATCATTCCAATCATAAACTCAAATCAAAAAATAACTTTCATAGATAGTCCAAATTTCCTGAGATTGAGAATAGTAGCAGATTTAATATTTCAAGAGGTTCTACAAATTCCAGCAAAAAATAAATTACCAGTCAAGAGAGGAAATAGTCTCTAGATTATAGCTCTACTTTTCAAGGATTTAAAATTAGAGTCCTTAAACCATAAGAAAGGTTTGAAACTCAAAAAGAAGAAAAATAAATAACAATCACTAAAAGTGCATAACTTAAAAAAAGAAATGAATAAAAAGAAGACATATATGATCCTAATTAAGATGACTTACTACTACCAAGGATTTATTCACCTATTGCTATTCCAAGGAAGCTTATAACAACAACAAAGATAAAGGAATAATCAATTTACAAGCATCTTTTGAGTAAACAAGATAATATTGACCATACAATTACAATTGTAAAACAATACAAAATTTATGATCAATTAAAAAAAGGAATTACTTTAAAATGTTTGTATTTATCTAAAAGATAAGAAATTACTGATAATATACTAATAATTAACTTTGATAGTATTATTTATAATATTAATTTATAGATTTAATTTTGGGAAAAAGGAAGTCTTTTTGGGAATAATCAAATGAAATCAAATTATGCTCTAAACTAATTGGTTAATAATGTGACAGTGCCTTTTGTTCATGTGCTCTATAAAAAGATTTAAAATCAACATTATAATAGTAAATATAATATTTTATTAAGAAATAGATTATCAAAATAATTTTATATCATCTTCATTTTTTAATGTGGATTAAGAGGTTCTACATGGTAATAATATTTAAATGATTGTGGTTATGCTATTGATGCAATCTATTATATTCCAACATCGAAATTAACAGGTGGAGGTGGAATTAAAATAAAATAAATTATTTCTAATTTTGGAAAAGTTCAAATTAAATAACTTATTTATTTTGGATCTATTGATACAGATATAAATTTAGATAATTTACCAATTGAACAATTCTTTTATTAAATTCCAATTGTTTAATAATAGGTTTCTGTCTAAATTTATTTTATGCATTTATAGAGATCAAAATTTATAGATTCTAAATTGCTTTATGAAATTTGTATGCTTCATTGCAATTAGAAGGATTCATTTAATTATAAGAAATAGTTAAATGTTATAAATTTAGAATTATAACCAATAATTTCTGAGATGATTAAAATAGAAATGGAAGAGGAAATTTCTAATTCAATATTTAAAAATCTGTAAAATTGTTTTAATTTATTCATAGCAATTAATATCATTCATCAAAGTAAATTTTAGAAGTAGAAGAAGAAGATAAAAATAGTTTATAATTATGGATATATTAAACCAAAAAATTGTTGCTGGATTACTTTAAAAGTATTAATAGTGAAGAACTAAACTAAAATCCTATTACTTTGGTTGGAGACTTTTTAAGAAGAAATACTTCAATTGAGATGAATTTCCTTATAAAAAAGGATTATATTAAATAAGTTAAGCGATTCAATATGTATAATGAATTAAAAGCTTCAACTACTGCACATACTACTTTTCGAAAATAATGTATCATGGAATGTTTTATTATTTAAGATTGATTTATTTTTATATTAGTTCTTATTTATTTATTAGATCTATTAATGATTTATATATCAATAGAATAATTGAATAAGGTAATAGAATAAAATGATCAAAATTTTTTCTAAGAATTTTTAATAATAGAACGAAGTTCTTATTTTTATTAATTCTACTAATTTTGTTTAGCTAGTTGCTTCAACATTTATTATATCATTAATCCCTTCATATTTTTAGATATAGATTCTTATTTTTCACTATGAAATCTTCTAAAATGTTATGTTTAAGGTGAATTAAGGCTGTTATTGCTATGAAAATTAAGAAAGAGTGCTTCTTTTTCATGCCTTTCTGTCAAACATCCTATATCTGGTGTAGATAATTTATTATACAATGCTCTTCCATCTGATTTATTTTTTTTGTGTTACTTTTTATCATTAATATCATTAAATAATTATTAAGAATTACAATTCATTTTAAATTTATCAAATTGATTAAGTACTTTATCTTGATGAGAACTTTATTTTATATGATTAATAGGTTTTTGTTTTTTTGAATTTAAAACTTTTTTGAATAAATTTTTTGCTATATATCCAAATTATTAGGATTGTTAAGTAGAATTATTTGATTTTCCTTATTTTAAGCAATTGATATCCTATTTGGAATTTTGTACATTTGATTTTTTGTAATTAATAGAAGGACTATTTCGATTAGAATAAGAAGTAAATAATAAATTTGTTCCTGATAAAGGTCTATGAGTAATAGCTCCTTATTTAAGTTTATTATATTAATGATCATGATAAGTATCTTCTATCAATAATTTAGCAAGAGAATTTAATTTAATATTATTATTCTATTATATTTATTATGTTTTAAGATGAGTTGAACTTATAGAGACTTTATGCAAAGAAGGAGTGGGTGTATTATTTTAATTTATATCACGTATAATTTTATTATTTTTTTGTTAATTTTTATTAATAGTTGTTTTAGATTTATTTTTAATAATTTCTTATGGTTTGTTATCTATTTTGGTTAAACTTTCAATAATATCAGTAGAAGCTTGTCTATTCGATTTCTTTGAATTATTATTAAATTGATCTTTAACAAAGTTAATCTTTTTTTCAATAGAACCTATACTATATTTGGCATCATTTTTTTTATGTATACTATAGCTAGGTTATCCTTTTGATTAAGTTATAGCTTTTTATTTTAATATTAATTCTTATATTTTTTATTCTTATGACAATTTTGGATTTGGTGATGTTTTTTATTTTTTATTAATTTAATTACCAATAAAAAGTAAGAAATTGTCTAATGTAATCTTCTCTTTCTTTGGATTGGTAAGAATAGAGAAAGAAGACAGGTCATCATATTGATCAAGATGATTAAATAACTCATTAATGGTCTATGACACATCTTTACGTAATGTTTTATCATTCTAAGCAGTTTTATATGTTTACAATAATTTACCTTTAACCAACTTATTTCTTTAAGAATCTAAGTTTGTAAGACTTCATATTCACCATCTTCTTAATCAGGTGGTAGAGATTCTTAAGAATTAGCAGGAGATGGTCTTTCACCTACTATACCTTTAGGTGGTTTTTGAGGATTTAATTTATTTTCTTCTTCAATTATTTTAGCTATTCGAAAATAATCATACTTTCGTTTCTTATCATAATATTTATTTAGAACACTACATATTGGCTCTTCAAATATTCTAGCAATATCTGCATGAAACTATTTCAATCAAATACTATACTTTGTAATACTCGGTAAGTAAAACTATTTTTTATGGATATTCTTCTATATTATAAAATCGCTTTAAATATTCATCCTATTTATATTTATTTATTAGGATACTTCCTCATCTATTGTTAGCCAATCTTTAAAATTAATTACTTGTTTTGTTGATGCATCACCTAATATCTCATTTATTTCTCTAATGTAATAATAATTTTAAGAATGCTGATATTTCTTATACAAGTTAAAATTCATCACAGCTATTGGTTTTCTAACTATTAATGGTAAACTTTGGAATTGCTCAACTAATTTAAATTTCTAACTCATATTGTTAATTAATTTTAATTATATAAATTCTAATACGCAAATGTAATTACAAATATATATCAATGCAACACTAAATCAACAGAGAAGTATAGATTCTTTCTCTTTTGACAAAGCTTCAAACTTATGTCATCTGTTATTAATTTGAATTAATCTATTACAATACAAGGCTATAAAAAGTACAATAAAAATCTTCTTAATAATTTTATATTTCTCTTTTATTCTTTCTCTTTAAATAAATGTTTATAGTTATCTTTTGGAAAATAATTCTTAAAATTAATGGCATTTTCAAATTAAAAAGTATCGAAAAAATAATCAATATTATTTAATTACAGTAAATATTAAATTAAATCTATTTCTTTTTTAAAGATATCACTCTTTAGATCTTCCAAAACTTTTAATCTCAAAGCTAAAGTATTCTATAAAAGTTATTAGCTTTTTCTTGGATCAAGCTAATGAAATGAAATATATTATTAATATTCATTATTGATAGAAATAATTTTGTGAACTGCTTTTTTAAATTTATTAACTTTCTAAATTTACTACTTCTCTGAAACCTTATCTTATTCATTAGAAGCATGAGAACTTTGCTCTAAAACTTATAAATCACTTAGAGATGCTTTTATAGAATCAGGTTCAGATATCATATATTCTGTAGAATAAAGTTTTACAATTTCAGGATTGTCTTTTAATAATTATTTAGAAGCAATTTTTAATCCTTCTATAACTTGTTCTTGAGTTAAGAAATTCATTATTCTAATTCTACGATTGAATTGAGCTCTTATTTGATTTGTTGGAAAGGTAAAAGATTTTAAGATCTTTTCTTTATCAGGTACATAATGAATCAAAGGACAATCAATCATTGAATGAAATTTCTTACTACATGAGAAACATGTTTAAGGAAGCAAGTCTTGATTTTAATTAGAGAATAATAAAGAATCTTTAATCTAACAGTATTTTTCATAATCTTCTGGATATTCTAAAAGTAATTTTAAGAAATATTTTTATTCCAAACAAATCAATTTAGTAAAACCTACACTTCTATATTTTCCTGGTTTTTATGATGAAGTAATAAAACTCTTTAATCCAATCTGTTATCCCGGTACAAGAGTTCCTAAATTTAATCCATTCGAATGTAAAATTTACATCTCTCCTGATATGATATAATATAAGTTATTATGCTATGATTCATCCGAATGTAACTCTTACTCAGGTTATAATGCTATCTCTTTAGCATATTTAACTAAAGTTGACTTAAATTCTTTAGAAAATCCTATGTTAAATAACGAACATTTCTTTAATATTTATTAATATGATTCTGTTACTAAAGAATCTTTTAAATCAGTTGAAAGTTATCCAATTAACTATTCTATTTCTTCATTTTTACTTCCTTATTAATTTTCCCATCGGAATGTTAAATATTCTCTAATTTAAATTTGTAAATCTTATGATATCTTTTACTAATTTAAATAAGAATTTATTATTCTTAATTTTCTTTTCTTTTCTACTGTATAAACTGATATTTATTAAATTATTGTCCCTAAAGTATTAACACTATATGGTAATTAAATGCTGGCTGCTATAATATAACTCACAGCCACTACTTTCTCAGCTGAAGATTAAGGTGTAACATCACCATATCCTATTGTAAACATTGTTACTGCTGAATAATAAAATGATTATAAATATTAAATTTACCATTCTGCATCTTCAACACCACTCTATAATACCCAACTTTTATTATGTTTTGTTATACTATAACTCCCTACTAACATCCAAATGCAAGAAAAAAAATGAATTGAATAAAACATGACAAATAATAATTTTACTAATTCCAAAATTGATTAAACTTATTTGTTGAAGTTCAAGTTTTCTTCATAGTAATTTACTATTGTTATGATTGGTTTAAAATGAACTAAAAATAAAATCAATATCAAAAAACTAAACGTCGTTTTTGTTCCATATAATGCTTCTTCTGATATTGAAATAAAGAAAAACACTATCAAAAGAAAAACCGTAAACCATTATAATCCATATGAATTTAAGAGACTATGTCTTAAAATCATCATTCTATTAGTCACTAATTATCCATCCTTATAATATGCTGTGTTAAGACTTAAAATCAAATCAAATATGATGAATAGAAGTGCAATTATAGATACAGCCTTAAAATCATAAAAAATAAAGGATTAATATTGCCATCCTATATCTAAAGGAATTACAAATGTAAAGTACAGTCTTGTAAGTACAGAAATGGTATCCCATAATATTTTAAATTTTGTAGAAGGATATAAGATTGGAACTCTATCCAAATTTTTATTAAATGAATTTCTTAGATTCTACAAAAATAATTATTATCTTCCATTTATTTTTGGTAATGTTGATTTTTTTTAGATTATTGTTTTTTATGAACTTGCCTTATCATTAATCATTTGTAATTGTAACTGATTTAATTGTTTTATTTTCTAATTTCCAGATTGTATATTTTTCATAAACTTTTATACATATATGTCCCTTTTTTGGCTATTGAATTTCTTTTTTTGATTTACTTATAGTGCTAACGATTATAAAATGTTAGATTAATAGCCTCTGCTTGTTACTTTTATCGAATTAATAGGTTAATTCTCCTTAAATTAATTGTCATCAAAACACTTTGACTCTAAATTATCATTTCTTGTTGTATTCATAAGAAAATTAATTATTTAATTCTAACTTTAATATAAATTCAAATAAATTTCTCCATATACAATCATTAACAATTAAAAAGTTACAAATACATACAAATACTAATAAATGAAATTCAACATAAATGTTTGTTTATTTTATTATATTAATAATGCAAATATAAAAAAGGTTTGATTTTTTTATTATAAATTTTGAATATTTGAAAGTAATATTCTAAATGTGATAATTAAAATTTAAATGATTTAGAAGATAACTTTGTTTAACACTAATCAAAGTAATTGAAAAATTGTAAAAAAAGATTATTTTTTTGAATTAATAAATTTATGATTATAATTATATCATAAAAATAGAAAATAAATAGTCTCACTCATTTTGTGAAATCATTTTTTATTTGGTTGATTAGAATATTAAATTATTCATCAATCTCTGTTTTCTTTTTATTTTCATATTTTTAATATAGGGGAAGTAAAGATTTCTAAACTGATTGTAATTATAAAACTATAGCTGAAAGTTCTTTTGGTAATTTTTTAGAAGAAGAATTGAATTATGTTTTTTTACTGCTTGATGTTCCATTATTTGATAATTTTATGTTTTCTTTAGCTGCTTTTTTAGTTCCTGAAAAAGCATCACTTTCTATTAATAAATTATTTAACTTTTTACTTGATAAAGCACCAATATACAAAGAATTTGTTTTTTTGTGATTAGAATTTTATTAATGAGTTGAAGGCAACTTAGATGTTGATTAATTGATCTCAAATAATTATCTAGGTTTTATTTATATTTCTTCTGGTTTCAATGGGCTTACTTCTCGAGTTTCTGGTATTTCCTCTATGAGTTAATAAGATTAATATATACCTATAATAAAGCTTTCATTTTTCTATGTGGTAGTATGATAATGAAAAGATTATGATACATGAGTTGGAGTGCTTTAAGTAATAGATTTATGTCTTTGCCAAAGATCTATAAGTTGCTCCACATTCTAATTGGCTTATTTAAGTTTGACTATAAACTATTTTTTATGAATCCTTTACCTCTATCAACAGAGAGAGCCTTTGAACTTTATCTAGATTGATTTAAATTTAGTACTAAAGGTTGAGGATTTACCTTATAATCTGTTCTTAAATAATGGGTATTAAATATTTAAGGGCTTTGAACTTATTGGTTGTTCATAACAGCTACAAAATTAAAATTAATTATTTCAACATAATTATCATCCTTAAACTATTTTATATAAAATGGTCTCATTAATCTCAACAAGGAATCTTCCGAGTTATAAGAAATGCTAAATCTATTAGATAAATTATTATATTTATTTTAAATAGAAATGATAGTTATAGATTTAGACTTTAATATCTCAATAAAGTTAATTCCAGCTTTAATAAGATTTGAATCTAAAAATTAGAAAAATAGAAATAACAAATCATAATCATTTAACTATATAAATATATAGTAAAAGTTTCATTTTTATTTCTTTTTATAATTTGGAGTTCCTTAATGTGATTTTATTAATTAATTTGGAGTCTTATGTCGAACATTTAAGCTTTTTATCGAACTTTTTATCTCTTCCATGCTTTTTAAATTTAATTACAAGGTAGTTCTACCTTTAACAAAGAAATTATTTGTTTATTAAGGATTTTATTTCTTTTTTGTTTACAAGTTATTATTTAAAGCAATTTTGGTTGAAAAAACTTTCTTTGCTAATTCTAATAATAGTTCATTTTATTAAGGATTATTTCTGGCAGTAGTTTAACAAGATTTAGTTAAATCTATATTGCCTAACGATGCTTATCTTGATTTTAATTAAGGAGGTCTTTTTATAGTTTAAGCTTCAACTTTTATTTTTGTATGAGATGATTGTCTGGACAATTGAGGGGATCTTAAATTACGTTCTGTTAAAGGAGGTGATTTAATAATTTTGGGTTTATTTTCTTTAGGTTTTGATAAATTGTTTTCAATTTTTTTACACTGAAGTTTTTATGCTTCAATAACAGGATTGATTTATTTTTGTATGAATTTGTTATAATTAAAAATTTGGAAAGGTTATGGTTTTTATGCATTGTTTCCAATCATTTTAACAAGATCTTTTAAAATGGTTGAATTACTAGAAATGTCTGTTTGAGTGGATTCTATTTTTAGATCTTTTAATAAGTTCTTCATTTAACTTACTGATTAATCCTCAGAGGTATCTTTAACTTTGCGTGGAGAGTCTTATTTTACATTTATATTATTTTAGCATAGACCTAATTCTTGCTTGATTTTATGGTACTATAGTTCTCTATTACTTTCCATTCTCTTATTAATAGTTTTAGAACAAAAATTTCTTGGAATGTTGATGTGAAATTTATAGTATTCAAGTAGGGCTGGAAGTCTATCATCACTTTCGAAAAAACGATAAAATCTAGATCAGTTGGTTGAGGGTACCTCCGCATGTACTCATTTTGATCATTGAGGTGCAAATGATCTTTATAATGAATAGTGCATTTCACAGATCGATCTTCAATAATGTCATTAATGTCTTTCTCATAAAAGAAGTTTTATGACTATGAGTATTTAGAATACAAGGCTCTCTTGAGTATAAGATGAAAAGATCCGTCATTGCGTAGCTTTTCACAAAACATGCACTTCTTTTAATTAACTAACATTTTATTAATTATAATGAGGGAAGAATCAGAAAAAAAAGAGATGCATAATTAAATATCTTGAATATATATTTATATTTAATGCAACCAAATTCAATTAGTTCTCCTAAATTTAAAGTGAGTCGTTTCAATCCTCATCGAGAACATTTGAAAACGTAAATCGCACACACTTCTTTATTAACTTTAAAACCTAGGGCATCGTTGCCTAAGATTCAAAAAAATAGTTCTTAAATATCATAGAGAAGTGAAATTCCTCTATTAAAAATGTAATCTATGGGTTCGCCTTTAAGTCAGAGTTACCTTTTAGAAATGGAAAAAGTTTATTGTGTTTGGCACAGCGAAACTGGTATAGTTGGAGGAGAATAGAAAGTATTTAATCCTTAGCATGTTAGAAACATAATTAAGATGCTCTTATAGTATAGAACGTGAACGATTATTAATTGTTTATGGTATGTGATGGTCATGGAAACTCAGGACATTTAGTATCAAATTATGTGTTGAATACGTTGATTCAGTAGATTGAACAAGGAATGTAAAGAAATCAATACATGTTACAATACAATACTTAATTACATAAGACAGTAATAAAAGGAGCATTTGCAAAAACGTCTAGTTTATTGGAACAGAGTTCTTTGCCAATAATTAGAAGTGGATGTACATGTAACTTGGTTTTGTTACTATAATAAAATATAGTACCAGCAGATTTAGGAGATTTTCAGTAGGAATTTTAGAAGGAATCAGTAATATATTGTGCAAATGTTGGTGATAGTAGAGCCATGATGGTAAGTAAAGGAGTCAGAGGAGGGTTAATAACAAATTAATTGAGTATGGATCATAGATTAGATGTTGTAGAAGAAAGGAATAGAATAAAATAGAAGGGTGGTACTATAGCTTAATTGCAACATAATGGTTAATCAGTAGGTCCATATAGAGTATGGTTAGATGAAATGTAAGGATCAGGTTTAGCAATGTCAAGAAGTTTTGGAGATACTTAAATGTAATCAGTAGGTGTTACATCAGAACCAACAATATATGAATCAAAGGTAAGATCATAAGATTTGTTTATGGTAATTGCATCTGATGGTGTTTGGGAATATATGACTAATCAATAAGTGGCTAAATTAATTTATGAGAAATATGAGCAGTAAGATCAGGCAGCATAATATTTGGTATCATAGGCTTAGTAATAATGGAAGGAGAATGATGTAGTAGTAGATGATATTAGTTGTATTGTTGTGTTTTTTAATTAATCATTATGACAATATAATAAATAATACATTACACTCTCATTACTCATAATAATTTTGTTATGGATTCATGTAAAATTCCAGTAACATATTTCTTTGCTGTTCATTATTTTAATTAAGACAGTTCTTTTGATTTTAAAATTCTTTGAACAGATCTTGGTCTATTTTATCATATTCATCTTCATTAGTATCTAATATTCATATCATTTAATTTTTACTGCAACTCTCTATTATTTCCTGTCTTCTTTATTTGTAATTCACTAAAGCTTATTCTTTTCCAATTTCCACTAATTCTATCAACAATTATTTTATCAATAATCTTTTTTTATTAACAAGTGTTCTTGGAAAGAGTTTCAATTTATAAATTCCTTCTGGCGATTCAAAATCTGATAACAAATAGTTTGGATTTGATAAAAAGGATTCTGCATATTCTAATAGAAATGCTCCACAATCAACATAATTAACTTAACGAGGTACTAAAAGTTGATAAGCAGGAATTTGTTTTATTGGAGAATCATTATAATTAACATCTTATTAGATTTTATCACATTACATTTTATGCAAATACCTTGTTATTTAATATTTATATTACATTTTTATTATTGTAACTAATTTTTAATCTATAATTCCAAAACTATCTAAATATATTATTATTGAATCTGAAAAAGATTTACTTTATTTATGAGCTATCAATAATGACCAATGTTCAGGTAAATTTATTGGAAATAACAAATAATCTTTCTCTGTCAAATCTTCTTTAACCCATCTCTTTACATGTTCATAAGATTATTTGAAAATCTCATTTATTCTATGATTATCATTCTATTAGATTGTTTGTAATTTATCAAAAGGACATAATTTCTCCACAAAGTATGTATTAAAAATATAAGTTTTTGATCTCAAAGATTCATCAAGTAATTCAAACTCGATAAATTTTAAATAAAAGTTTATAATTCCATCATTTAAATAATTGGGTGGATTTAATTTTAAAACATCGTGGTATTTGATCTAAATTGTTTTTTTTTAAGTTCCACTTGAAAATTAAAAATTATATTCATAATCTTCTTTTAATTAAGTGTCTAATTCTAGGATTCTCTCTAAAATTGCTTAATCTTAAAACTTTGCAAATCTCTCCTTCTGTTGTAACTTTATTTGATCCCACATTTATTAATGTTTCAACTAAGTTTATCTTTTTGTCCGATCATTTGACTCAAAATTTAAACTAATTATTGATAATTGTACTATTTTGGATCACTATATAATGGTGTTACTAATTATAATTAACAAATTAATTTATCAAAATTCTCAAGCGCTCTTTTTGTATCTGCTTGTGAAATGAATTTAGGTTCTATCGGTTATTTTTAATCTTCAATCTAATGATTGAGTTACTAACTATACCTATTTTGGAATTTTCTACTTCACTTCTTCTTCTGGTACTTCAAAATCAACTTCTTCTAATATTTTGAAGGCATTCTGATAGCTTGATCTGTATTATTAGAAGTAATTGATAATATTTGGCTGCTTTTATTCAGACATTTTAATTTAATTATAATAATTTGTTTTTAATATATTATATCATTAGCCTCTCCTTCTTTATTATTATTATAGGGCCATTAAAAATTGATCAATCCTTGGATATTCTAATCTTTTCTACTCCAGTTGCTCCAATTTTCTGGGATCTCTTGAAGTTAAAAATTCTCTTAGAATAGCCTTCTCCTGTTCATTCATCATGGCAATCAATTCAGCCAATTCATTAGGTTATTATTATGGTTATTATTATTATTATTATTATTATTATTATTATTGTTATTGTTATTATTATTAAATAGGAACTTACTAGATAGTATGTTAAGGATGCATATGCATCATTGTTTATTGAAGAATTGGTTATTATTGAGAAACTTAAGAAGGTTATGGTTGTTACATCATTTAACTGGGTAATTAGGTACTCATTTAATTAGTTAATTAGGTACCCATTTAATTTGGCAACTAAGTACTCATTTAAGTGGGTATTTAGTTATTCATTTGATTTGGTAATTAAGTGCTCATTTAAGTGGGCAATTAGGTATTCATTTAATTAGGCATTGAAGGCTAGGATATAAAATATAGAATACCATAAACATAGATATTTAAGGAATTTGATAAGGTTAGTGTATAGGTTATTGCATAGCTTGTTATTGTTACAATTATTATTATTATTATTAAATTCCTGTTTATTATTATTGAATTGTTTGCATAGAGTGAAGATTATAATCTTATCTTCTTGAAAGTCTTGGATCTTCAAGTTAATGGAAAGTGACAGGGGGAGCTATTGAGTCCAACTAAGAGATATAAATATATGAATTACTAAATTATAATTACTAGAGGCATTTTGTGGTCTAATAGGAATGACTGGAGTACTATTTATTGGATTTTAATGAGGTTGCACATTTGGTTATTGTAATGGAAACATCATTTCTGGTTTATAAAGTGGAGGTGGAGCATCAACAGTAGTTGTTCTTATAGGAATAGGTATAGATGGTCTTATAGGTTCTAATGTAGGTTAAACAGTTGATATCTTAGCAAAACCTACTCTATCTTTGGAAATTATTGGTTGTCTAATATACAATGACATTATATCATTTATTATTGTTTTAGGATAGGTTGGTATCTCTAAAGGAACTAATTTAAAAATCTTGTCTCTATAAAGAACTTCAGGAAAGGCAATATTATTTTATTATGTAGGTTGTACTTTTTTTAATTCTTTAAATGCTAATTTCCATGGTGTTACTTCACTTACTGTTAATGATTGATATTTCAACATCTTATCACCTTCTAAAACTGTCTATTTAAAAAAGGAACTCAATATTTATTGTTGCTTTACTTTAGATTGTTATTATTAAATCTTTTCTTATATTAATTAAAAAACAACATAATGTGAACGAGGTTCACTAGGTAATGTTACATTTTGATCCTTTATTTCTTTATTATTTGATTCAATCTATTTCAATAAAAATTAAAGCAATTTAGCATGTTTATTAAAATAAGAGAGATTACTCAATTGATTAGATAAATTTGTAATAAAATCTACTATGTTCTCTTGTTTATTAAACATCAGAGTCTATATAGCTCTTTTTCTCACATCTCCAGGATGAATCATATTATTAGGTATTGATACAAATAATCTGAATAACAAACTTATGAATTATTCAATAATTTATGTGTAGACTTATTGGAATGGTAAATTATTGTAATTAAGAAGAGAATGTTGAATTAAATCAACAAAACTATATAATTAAAATATAGGTTTAGCTTTATATGGAGTTTAAGTATAATCTGAATATAAAAGAATATTTTAGCCTACAATATTCTTTGAAGTACATTCTAAAATTTCTATAATTAATTTTGTTGATATCAAATTTAGATGATAGTACTCTTTCGAATCCTCTTAATATTCAATATTCTTAACTAAATTCTTAGCCAAACTCTTCAATAAATCTTATAAATAAGTGATATGAGGAATGTCTTCTATCAAATATTAATAAGATTAAGATTCAGATTATAAAAATTGACTGACTCCACATTCATGATCAACTGCTTTCTTGAAAATTTGTAGAATTTGATTACGTAAGGTTGCAATAAGTAATTTATATGATTTTTCAGTGGGTTATGAATCACAGTAATCATTTTCTGAATCAATTAATTTATAAATTTTTATCATGTCTTCATTTAAATGTTCATAGTTGAAAATGTACATAAAGCCACAATTGCATAAACAAATATCTATAGCTTATGTTAAAAACAATCCTAAAAGTACCCAATCTTATCTATATTTTAAATAAAGTTATTGATCTTCTTTTTTAGCTAAAGCTTTGATTTTATTTGAATAATTCTTAAGTTAATCTTCTATAATTTTAAACAACTGTTATGAAATGTTATGATCGTATAATTCTAATAGATTTCTTAAAACTTTAAACATTTCATTTTGTAAGTTCTAATCAAATGTTCTTAGGGAAGATTACATTAAATTTTATAAACATTTTTGTTCACCCATAGTATCAATTAGAAATCCAAGATCTCCATTTTTGGTATAATTTTCAAATTCATCATCATTTTTACGCATAGCTTTAAACAATACATTGAATAGATTATTACTGAATTAAGGTTTATTTTAATTGTCTTTAATTAAGTATTACATGAGATTTAGAATATATTTTTATTCTTCTTAATTTCTAAAGGCAGATAAATACAAAGATTAAAATAGAGTCTAGATTTCTTAATTACCTTATTACGCATGAACTTTCAACTATTCATTATCATCATCTTAGAATGAATTAAGTGTAATAACATAATTAAAGCAATTTCTGAGAATACCTAATAAATTTTCAACTTTCTATCTACATTCTCTCAATCCATTTGGTTGAACCTTTTAGAGAGACACCCATAAATCAATAAGGATTTTACATAGATCATTGGAATGGAAAGAACTCTCACAACCTAATTGAACTCTAAATTTTAATCTTTCTTAGATTAATTCTATAGTATTATAAGTAAGATCAAAATAATGTCTTAATATCTATTATTAGTTTGGTAACTTAATTAACATATATTCAGTTTATATATTTTTAGTAGTCATAGCCGAAAATAAATTAATTAATTTGCCAGCAAAACATTCTACTCCTGCAATAACTTCATGTTCAAAGAACGGAATGAAATAAAACTTATTACAATCACATAACCATTTAAATATTTTAATAGCTCCATCTAAAAATTATAAACTCTAATAAGGTTAATCAAAAGTTCCTAATAAACGAAATTCTTATTTTAATTCTTCATGAATTCCTTTCTTATGTTCTCCAACTCCAAAATATTCTTTTAATTTATTCTTATCAGGATCTTGATTTATAGCTACAAATTTTAATTTAGTATGAAAAGATTCTCTAATAGCTTTAGTCGTATCTTTAGCTAAAAATAATTCATATGGTTCTAAAACTCCTGCTAATAGAATTTAAGATAAACGGAAATCAGAATTAAATGTAGTCTTTTCTGCATTTGCATATTTGATAAAACGAGCATTTGGAGCAATAAGACGATCTGCTAAAAATAATCCTTTATGTGTATCATTATATCTTAGAACTATGATTATTTTGTAAATTTACTATTAATAAAGATATGAGACATAATAGTGATTTCCACTTCATGTTCAATTATATCATCTAATTTAGTTACTGACATTATATATAATAAGGCTTCACTAAAAAATTCATTATTCATTAGATGTGTTACAGCTGCACAATTCTATGTCATTTCATCTTATTCTTCAGTATATTATTACAATTAACCTAACAATTATATCAATTCATAATCATAATCAGAACCTAATAGTTTAATGTAAATTTAATCCATTAAATTTATTAAAACTAATGATGATTTTATTAAATTTAATAATTATATATCATTGTTTTTTGTTAATACTCTAATTATCAACTTTAAAGCTGTAGTCTCTTGACAAATAACTACAATACCACCCTTTATTTATAATATTCGATAAATCAATTAACAACATTAACTATAATTCTAATTGAGTACCATCATAGCAGCAATATATTTCATAAATTACATCTACTTAAACCACATGGCATTTGCATATGTAATACATAAATCTTTCATTTATAATATCTCTTTTACTAATTTAAAATTAGCTGTCTTTGTCTTCTCTGCATCAAATAAACAATACATCAATTCTCTTTATTTATCACAATAAAAGTCTTTCTGAACTGCAAATAAAAATAAATCCAATCCAACAAGATTCTCAAATTCCCATTAATAAGGTAAATTATTCAATAAAAATTCCATTGTCCCATCTTCATTAAAACCCAATTTACCTTAATAAACCAAATCTATCATATTCTTTAACTTTCTGAATCTTACATATATTTATAATCTATTTAATGCTACATGACATGCCTAAACTATTTTCTCATCTTCACTTTTTGAAGCTGTATATGCCAACAATTAAAATCCATTAAAATTATTAACTTACTCTGTTGTAAATTATTATTACTCCTATGTAATTGACTTACTCTTACTCCTACTTCTACTTCTACTTTTCTTCTTATTCTTCTTCTTCTTTCCTTCCTTATTCTCTTTCTTCTTCTTTTCTTTATCCTTCTTTACCTTCTTTTTCTTCTTTGGAGATTTCTCAGAATCTTAAGTCTTTATCTCTACATTTCGAGTTATTAACTCATTACAAAATTCTACATGATTCATACAATTATATAAAGTCTCGATCACCTTTAATTTAAAGTAACTAGGAGATTATTGTTTCTCTATCAAAAATTCTAGTAATTTATTTAAACCTCCCTTATCTAAAAATAATAATGCATGATATTTTGAACTCAATAATTATATTATTATTGGAAATGCTCTTATGGCAGATGAATATGATGCTTTTATTGCAAAAATTACTGAATCCACTAGTGTTGTTGGTAATAGTTTATAAATACGATCAACATCATTAAAATGAGCAGCTGAATGAATATCTGCTTTTGAATGTTTTAAATGTTTTGTTAAAACTCTATGCAATTATTCCAATTTTTCATGATATAATGATACCAACTATTTATCTACAAAATCATAGTCTTAATCAATGGATTTTAATTCTTTAGCAAGTATTTCAATTTATTTTTATGATTCTTATTAATTAAATTGTTTATCTTCAAGCAATAATTATGGTTATATGTTATCTACACATAAATGATAATTTTCTTGATTGTAAATATGATCTAAGACTTCATTTCTTTATTTAATGATTTGTTAATAGATTTTGTTATCAAAAGTTTAAGTAATAGTGCGTACTCTTTAAATTCTTGTATCAATAACATCATTTAACTCTTGTAATCCAATATTCTTACCATAAGAAGGATTGTAACATTGAATAGAATGTCCTGACATAATTTCACCATACATGCAGATTGTAAGTCGTTTATATTATCCTCTAAAGACTATAAAATCAGTGATATACTATGTAAATAAATAAAATAATACTGGTTAATCGAGTGTGATAAGTATATCGCAATTGTTTGATGAGATTTCTGGACTTCCAAACAAAAGTTAATATCTAGATGAAGGTTTGTTAATCTAATAAGATTTAGCAAAAATCTCTAAATTTCTAATAGGCTCTTCACTTTGAGTAATAGTAATTAATTTTTTGAGACTTTAATGTACATTATAACCTGGTTTGACAATTCTGATTAAGGACACCTTGACAAGTGATTAGAAAATGATTTCATCACAGACTTTAACTTCTTTGACTTTGGATCTTGTGGTATTAGACCCACTTTCCAAATGCTCTAAGTTATCAAAGTATAGCAATTAAACAAAGTGATCCATGGGATAACTCATTATTAAAAGATTTTTAATTAAAATAAAAAATGTCTTCGTTTAATTAGAAGTAACAAAAGAAACTTAATGAACATAAGGAATTAGCATAAAAATAGAAAGATGCAAATGAACGTTTTCAAGAGGGTAAGAAGATAATGATGAAAGAGAATAAGACAGCAAATGATTTTGATAGAGCAATTCAATTATTTTCGGAGGCAATTACATTGTTATAAGTAATTAAAATATAATAAGTTATATAAGAACTCTAATTAAACAGAGCCATAATATGCTAAATTTTATGCAGCGAGAGGAAATGCTTATATGCAAACTGGTTAATATTAGAGAGCACTTTTTGATTTTTCAACAGCTGTTAGATTTGAAGAGAATAATGCAGAACATTATGGGGCAAGAGGAAATTGTTTTTTATAATTAGGAGAAGTGAATGATGCTTTAAAAGAATATGATAAAGCAATTTAAATAAAATCAACAGACGGTTTCTTATTTTTAAATAGAGCACTTGTATATGCTAGATTAGATAATTATAAAAAAGCAATAGAAGATTATTAATAAGCATTAAAGTATTTGAAAGATTCAAATGCATAATTTAAAGCACATTTCCATATGGGAAATTGTTATAGATAAATTAAAAGTTATGATTAATCAATAGAACATTTACAAAAGGCATGTGATATAAAGAAAGATGAAGCACCAGCTCATAATAATTTAGGATTATCTTATTTTGAGAATTAATAATATGAATTAGCATTAGAGAGATTTACTAGAGCAATTGAATAAGATGAATCAAAAGCANGTAATAGTGCGTACTCTTTAAATTCTTGTATCAATAACATCATTTAACTCTTGTAATCCAATATTCTTACCATAAGAAGGATTGTAACATTGAATAGAATGTCCTGACATAATTTCACCATACATGCAGATTGTAAGTCGTTTATATTATCCTCTAAAGACTATAAAATCAGTGATATACTATGTAAATAAATAAAATAATACTGGTTAATCGAGTGTGATAAGTATATCGCAATTGTTTGATGAGATTTCTGGACTTCCAAACAAAAGTTAATATCTAGATGAAGGTTTGTTAATCTAATAAGATTTAGCAAAAATCTCTAAATTTCTAATAGGCTCTTCACTTTGAGTAATAGTAATTAATTTTTTGAGACTTTAATGTACATTATAACCTGGTTTGACAATTCTGATTAAGGACACCTTGACAAGTGATTAGAAAATGATTTCATCACAGACTTTAACTTCTTTGACTTTGGATCTTGTGGTATTAGACCCACTTTCCAAATGCTCTAAGTTATCAAAGTATAGCAATTAAACAAAGTGATCCATGGGATAACTCATTATTAAAAGATTTTTAATTAAAATAAAAAATGTCTTCGTTTAATTAGAAGTAACAAAAGAAACTTAATGAACATAAGGAATTAGCATAAAAATAGAAAGATGCAAATGAACGTTTTCAAGAGGGTAAGAAGATAATGATGAAAGAGAATAAGACAGCAAATGATTTTGATAGAGCAATTCAATTATTTTCGGAGGCAATTACATTGTTATAAGTAATTAAAATATAATAAGTTATATAAGAACTCTAATTAAACAGAGCCATAATATGCTAAATTTTATGCAGCGAGAGGAAATGCTTATATGCAAACTGGTTAATATTAGAGAGCACTTTTTGATTTTTCAACAGCTGTTAGATTTGAAGAGAATAATGCAGAACATTATGGGGCAAGAGGAAATTGTTTTTTATAATTAGGAGAAGTGAATGATGCTTTAAAAGAATATGATAAAGCAATTTAAATAAAATCAACAGACGGTTTCTTATTTTTAAATAGAGCACTTGTATATGCTAGATTAGATAATTATAAAAAAGCAATAGAAGATTATTAATAAGCATTAAAGTATTTGAAAGATTCAAATGCATAATTTAAAGCACATTTCCATATGGGAAATTGTTATAGATAAATTAAAAGTTATGATTAATCAATAGAACATTTACAAAAGGCATGTGATATAAAGAAAGATGAAGCACCAGCTCATAATAATTTAGGATTATCTTATTTTGAGAATTAATAATATGAATTAGCATTAGAGAGATTTACTAGAGCAATTGAATAAGATGAATCAAAAGCAACATATTATAATAATAAGGCGCTTGCATTATATCATTTAGGAGATTTAAAAGGAAGTTTGATTGAATTTAATAAAGCACTTGGAATAGATGATTAAGATGCTAGAGCTTTATACAATCGAGGAAATACTCATTTAGCTTTAGGGAAAAGAGTAGAGGCTCATGCTGATTATGATAAAGCTATTAAATTAATGCCAAAAAATTCAAAATTTTATCATTCTAAAGGATTAGCTTATTAAGATTCTGAAGAATATGAAATGGCTATAAAAATGTTCGAAGAAGCATTAAATATAACACCTAATCATATGCCTTCTATATTTCATTTAGGTTTAATGTATCATAAAAATGATAATTTAAAGGAAGCTTTGTCATTATTTACTTAAGTGTTGAATGCTGAAGGTAAAGATCGTTTAGTCTATTCTTCAAGAGGTTTAGTTTATATGGATATGAAAAATTATGAATTAGCAATATAAGATTTTAATGCTGCAATTGAATTGGAACCTACATATCCAGAAACTTATTATAATAGAGGATTAGCAAGAATTGAAATGCATGAACTTAATGATGCTATTAAAGATTTCGAATAAGCACTAGAACTTAATTCAAATAATCCTGGTATTTACTCAGGTCTTGGATAAGCTTATAGATTAAAGAAAAACTATGAAAAAGCACTCTTCTATTTAGACAAAGCTTTAAAAGACTCTCCTCATAATCAAGAATTTTTAGTATAAAGAAGCAATATATTTATTGATAAAAAAGAATATCCAAAAGCAATAATAGATTTAACTAGTGCTTTAGATAGAAAACCTAATGATGCATAAATATACTATAGAAGAGGATTAGCATATTATAAAAACTAAGAATTTAAAAAAAGCATTGCTGATTTATATAAATCTTTTGAAAATAAACCATTTTAAAGCTATGTACCAGATATTCATTATCATCTTGGAATTTCATTTGCTAATCTTGAAATGTTTGATAAAGCTATTGAACCACTTACTAATGCTATTGATTTATAAAAATATGAACCTGCTTATATTCATGAAAGAGCTAAATGCTATTTACTTGTAGGTGAAAATCAATTAGCTTTAGAAGATTTTGATAAAGTGATTGAAATGCAAGTATTATTTATATTCATATCAAATTATAGCCACATAATTCACATGCTTATTTTGGAAGAGCCTTTGCTCATAAAGCATTATAATAATATGGAAAAGCAGCTGAAGATTTTGGAAGAGCTAAAGATCTTGATCCCATGAATTCAAAATTAATTGTTAATTTCAAATAGATCTATTATGTTAAATATATCAAATTATGTAATCCAGGAGAAGAATAAAGATGATATTATATCTAACTTAAAATATCCTAAATTTTATTCTCATACTTTTTATTAATTAAATTACCATGTTTTTTTTAATTATAATAT